TGCTGCCACCGGTTCAGCTCATTCTCCTCCCCCGCTACCACTTTTCTAGGATGGTTGCGTACCACCTGCCAGGTGCCAATGTACCATAGGTGGTACCAGTACCACTGGTTGAAAAGCCCTGCTCTAGGCTAGGGCAATACTGGCAATTTTAAGATGGGTAGACATCAATACCCAGAATTCCCCAGCCAGCAGGGGAGATGAACTGTTAAAGTTGCTGAGATTGAGAAACACTGGTCTAGAGAAACAGGGTTTCCAAATGACAACAACAACAGCAACAACAACAACAACCATATCTTCTTTTCCCTTCCTAGATAGAGAAAGGATCTTTTTAGTAAAGTGATTGGGTCAAATTCCCAGAGAATGGAACAGATATTCTCACAAAATGGCTGCCACATGGGAGTTCATGTATTAAGGTGGGACAAATTTAATCTGTTTGAGATGCTACTAGCAGCCATAATAGGCTGCTTTAACAATATAATCATCCACAGAAGAACTCCAGAAAAAGATGTAAAAAATATTGGATGAAATTAGAAGGAAAGAAACTGAATTGTAAAAGACAGCAATGGAATCTAAAATGTTACACCAAGTGCTGTATCAACTACGGTCCACGTTAAGAGTTCAAGAAAGAGAAATTAAGCTGAATTATGTGAAACAAAAGCATTTTGAATTTGCCAATAAACTGGGGAGATGGCTGACATGCAAACTCAGAAAGAAAATTGAAAAGAAAATGATAGAGAAAAACCATGAAGGCGACATGGTAATTAAAGCCAGTGATCTCATTAAAAAGTCTTTTTAAAACTTTTGTTCCAACTTTTACAAGAAGCAGGAACTGGACATACCAAAAAAATAAAAATAAAAATAGATGATTATCTGCAAAGACAACATTGACCTAAACTTTCACAACTTCAAGAGACAACCTATGAACGATCTACCTTTGAAATATCAGAAGCTATTAAAAAATGAAAGCAGATAAAACCCTGGGTCAGTGGTGGGATTCAAATCTGGGAACAACCGGTTCTCTGTGTGGATGCCGCTTCCGGAGTTCATTCTGGTCCTGGGCAACAAAAAATTAGCTACCGGTTCTGCCGAAGTGGTGTGAACTGGCTGAATCCCACCACAGGAAGGAAGGAAGGAAGGAAGGAAGGAAGGAAGGAAGGAAGGAAGGGAGGGAGGGAGGGAGGGAGGGAGGGAGGGAGGGAGGGAATTAAGGAAGGAAGGAAGGAAGGAAGGAAGGAAGGAAGGAAGGAAGGAAGGAAGGAAGGAAGGAAGGAAGGAGTGGTGGGATTAAAATATGTCAACAACCGGTTCTCTGTGTGGATGCCACTTCCGGAAGTCCATTCTGGGCTGGGCAACAAAAAATGCAGGCAACAAAAATGCAGAACTGGTGCGAACTGGCTGAATCCCACCACTGCCCTGGGTGCAGGTGGTCTCTCAAGTTAATATCATGAATGTTTTGAAGACCCAATAAAAGATGCTACAGGGAGCAAAGATGCCTGAAACCTGGAAAGAAGCCAACATAGTTCTACTACCAAAGGAAGGTCAAGATGTCCTGAGGATTAAAAACTATAGACCAATTTCGTTACTAAATAACGATTATAAACTTTTTGCTGCAATATTGGCAAAAAGTTTGAATAAGATCTTGGAGTCATATATCCATGAAGATGAATTTGGTTTTTTGCCAAAAAGACAGTTAAGAGACAATGTGAGGACTGTTTTGAATATTATTGAATACTTACAACACCATAATGAGAAACAAGCAGTTCTAATATCCCTGGAAAAAGAGAAAACCATTGGGTTTTTATGTTCAAAGTCCTGGAAGATATGAACTTCAGGGAGAAATTCATTCAAGGGGTTAAAGCAATTTATATCTGACAGCAAGCAAATATTTTTATTAATGGAGATTTAACTAAACCATGTGAAATTCAAAAGGACAGGAGAAATAGATGCCCCTTATTTCCTTTCTGCTTTATATTGTTTCTGGAAGCTTTGAAGAGAGATATTAGACAGGAGTTTACAAATTAGAGTACTTGCTGATGACTTAGTTGTATTTTTGCAAGACCCCCAAAGCTGGTATAGAATGCTCGATGAGGAAACTTTGGCCCTTCAGTGGGTTTCAAAAATAAATAAAAGAAAACAGCAATGCTTGTTAAGAACATGATTTCTCAGAAATATGAAATATTGACCAAAAAGTCAGACTCCAAGGTGGAGAAAAAGAGGGAATAACTTGCGTTTTACATTGTCAAATACTAATTCTAAATTATTGCAAAATAATTTTGTACCTCTGTGGAATGATATCAAAAAAAACTTATTAAGATGGGATAACGTGCAATTATCTTTATTGGGTAGAATCGCTAGATGAATCGGACATGCTGTATGAATATATTTATTTTACTGTTTTATCGTTATATTGAGTCACTGAAGCAGTAGGTGTGAATTTAAATGGACTCCAGAAGATGGTAGAGGACAGGAAGACCTGGAGGAACATTGTCCATGGGGTCGCGATGGGTCAGACACGACTTCGCAATTAACAACAACAACATCGTTATATTATTGTTTTAATTTTGTACGCCGCCCTGAGTCCCTCAAGATTGGACGGCATATAAATTTTAGAAATAAATAAATAAATAAATGTTTTACCAAAGGTGTTATCTTTATTTCAGACTTTACCAATATTTATAACCAACACTCCATTTAAATAATGGCAAATGGATATTTCTAAATTCATATGGCAAAGGGAAAAACCAAGAAGTAAATACAAGATCCTGAAGAAAGAGGAAGGTTGGGTCTACCAGATTTGAAATTGTACTTTGATGCTTGTGCTTTGGTCTGGCTTAAAGTGTGAGTGACTCTCCAAAATAAGGAATTTATTGAACGAGAGGGCCATGAATTAAAATTTGGATCGCACTCCTACTTATGGTATGATAAGGATAAAATAAATATTGACTTTAATAACCATTTTGTAGATGTGGCAGCCTAAGGGTTTGGAATAAATAATGTTGAGACTCTAAGAAAAATTACAGAGAAGAGCAACAAAGATGATCAGGGGACTGGAGGCTAAAGCATATGAAGAACGGTTGCAGAAATTGGGTATGTCTAGTTTAATGAAGAGAAGGACCAGGGGGACAGGATAGCGTGTTCCAATATCTCAGGGGCTGCCCCTAAGAAGAGGGAGTCAAGCTATTCTCCAAAGCACCGGAAGGCAGGACAAGAAGCAACGGGTGGTAACTAATCAAGAAGAGAAGCAACCTAGAACTAAGGAGAAACTACCTGACAGTTAGAACAATTAACCAGTGGAACAACCTGCCTCCAGAAGTGGTGAATGCTCCAACACTGGAAGTTTTTAAGAAGAGACTGGACAGCCATGGTATAGGTATAGGATTTCCTGCCTGAGCAGGGGATTGGACTAGATGACCTCTAAGGTCCCTTCCAACATCATCATCATCATCATCATCATCATCATCATCATCATCATCATCATAAAGTAAGGTTCCCTGAGAAGATACCTCTTTGGGTGTCACCTCATGAAGTTTTTTTTTTTAAAAAATAAATGGTGGTGAGGCCAAACCGGTGGACTTATGATCAAATAATACTATTTAATCATGGTGAACCTACTCTCAAATTTAAAGAGGAGTTGCAACTAGATAGTTGTATCTTTCATTGGTTTACATAATTACAATTGAAAGAAAGGCTTAAGCTAGATTAAAACATTTATGGACTTAACTTTGCAAAAAAAAAAAAAATGAATTGGAAACTCCACTGTGTGATAATGATGAACACATTACTGCTAATGTTTATAAACTGCTAATGAAATTAAATTGGGAGAACGAGTATGTGAATATTGTTATATACGATCCAATGAGCAAAGAATTTTGGATACAATATAATACTTGAACAAGGGGGAAACATATGGACAAAGGGTTTAAAATTTATATTAAATTATAATTTAAAAGATTTTTTTTTATGAAATCATGTAGTGTTCATATTTAACACTGGATAAATTGCCAAAAATGTATAAAGGTATTTTAAATGTATGTTGGAAATGTAAATGAAAAGAAGGAACTTTTTACCATCCATGGTGGACCTGCGACAAAACAAAGAAATATTGGAGTAGGATTCACACCTTAATACAGAAAATTCTGAAAGTGAATATCAAGATAAAACCAGACTTAATGGACAAAGAACTGGGGAAAAAATGGAATTTTGATGTTATCCATACTGACAGAAATAAGGATGCTCTATGGACAGAAATGGAAAGGTGTTTTAATTCCCACAACAGATGACTGGCTGCAGAAGCCAATAGAGTTCACAAAGGTGGTTAAATCGACTCCTTTAATTAAATAAAAGAATACAACTTTCTTTGTTTCTACTTGAAAATTGTTTCTGGGCTTTGTGATGGGGATGGAAAAGTATGAAACTTTGACTTTGGGTTTTGCTGATTAGATAGGCTTGATATTACAGACATGGCGCGTATATGTTTTTATGTAAAAGCAAATAGTTGAGGTTATATGTCACTATCTTATTCTACTGCGCTGAAAAGAGTCAATACTTTCCTTTATTTCCCCCACATTCCCCTACACTTTTTCTCCTTCCTTTTTTTCCCGCCCTCCCTTTCTCATTATTTTTGATTAATGATGAATTAATAAAAAATTTAAACAGCAGAATTGCTGAAAGAAATTATTCTTCCTGGTTGCATCACCTGTGGCTCACAATCTTAGGAAGGGATGCGCGCACGCGCACGTGCACACACACACACACACACACACACACACACACACACACACACAAATACAAATACCCAACCCCAATTATCTGGGATTTATCAACCCCTCCCTGAACAGGACAATCTTGTAATGGGTCTGCCTGTGTAATAATTCAGGGTTGCACAAAGTGGTATTAAGGAAGTAATCAGTCATCGCCGTTGTGACAACCTTGGACAATGTAACTGCTATTAAGGGGTAAAATATATTCTGCACCCTGTCGTCCTTTATTCCCAAGAGGCATAGGGCTCGTGGCCATTTCCTGCCTATAAATACTCACCCAGAGAAGATCTCGGTCTCAGAGAACCGAGACCGACCTGAACGGCATCACGATGGCTTCCTTTGTGCTCCTCGTCTTCACCATCCTGCTCCTTCCTGTGGAAAGATCTGCCAAAGCAGCAAGTATGTGGGGCTTTTCGAATTGATTTTCACTTCTTCTGAGGCAGTTTGTAGCTGTTTTCTACCGGACAATCAAAGTTTTGAGTTAGGCAGATCTTTCTTCCTCTCAGGAACTCTCAGATCGCATCAACCGAATATATTCTCTACGATAGCCAGCTGAAGTGACCAACTTCACATGGCCTGATGGAAAGATGGGGACACAAGGAAGGTGGAATGGGATTCCCTGGTCCAGCAGGGTTGGTGGGAAAATATCTGGGATCAATATTGGAACATATTGAAATGTGGATTGAGTAAGACCGCTGAACTGCACAGAGCACAATGTGGGGCAGCCAGATAATAAAATCAATCATTCAGATTGGTTTAGGCAGAAACTCTTCCCATGGAAGAGAATGCAAATCAATGGAATTTGAGCTAAATGTTGAACACAGTCGGAATCTAGGCAGATAGTTATGATAATTTCTTAATGTTGTTATCTTACTGCTTTTTAGGGATTAATACATGGTTTGACTTGACTTGTTTTATCTTGTTTTTAAAAAAGTTATAGAATTTCAACCAAGGTCTGTTCATCTGTGGGTGTCTTTCCATTCCTCCCTAGTGTAATGTCTCGCTGTGTTTCGTTGTGTGTGTGTGTGTGTGTGTGTGTGTGTGTGTCGATAAAAAGCACAAGTCTTTTGTAAGTTTTTTTGGGGGAGGGGGGGGATGACTTCTCATTCCATACCAAACATGGCTTTCTTCCTTTATGCAACCAGACATTCCTCACAAGCCATTTACAGAATTTCTTTCCAAACCTCTGCTGGGATGGGAATAATAAAATTGGAAGAAGGCTAGAGTCCGTTTCAGTATTAAAGTATATTTACAGCATAGTAACACAACTGAAATCTGAAGGAGTCTCAAACATTTTTTCTTTTTTCTTTTGAATCCTTACCACTGTCACTAGCATGCTATGAATGTTTCATTGATGGAGGGGGTTACTGCAATGGTGTGCAAAAAAACTGTACAAATCAGCAAACGTGCTTAGGTGTTTATTCTGCGGCCAACTTGTCGCTAGGTAAGTGGATTAATATTTTTGTTTCTCTTGTCTACGATGTTGATTTGGATGAAGATATGGAGAAATTATCTCCACGATATTTTGGTTTCATATAAAGCAGTGTTTCGATTTTCAGACACGTAGACGACAACTCCGAGAATTTTGAGAAACACTGATCTAAAGTATGTCTATCCATGTATAGGGGCTTGTGTGTGTGTATCAAAGTTCCCTTTTCACCCTGATGGTGGTCCATGTCTTCCTCAATCTCAGATCCTCTATCAGGGACCTTGAAGACAAGATTGGGGAGATGTGATAACTATTTTCAAGTATCTAAAGAGCTGTCTTGTAGAAGATGAGGCAGAAATTTTAGAATTGTTCCAAAAGATAGGATGAGAAATAATAGATTTAAATGACCAGAAACAGATTTTTGAAGGACACCAGGTAGCCTTTCCTTATGGTAGGAACTATTCAAAAATGGAAACAATTGTCTTGGTAGGTGGTAGTGGACATTTTGGTTTCATGTAATGCAATGTTTCTCAAACTTGCCGATTTTCAGACAAGTAGACGTCAACTCCAAGAATTTTGAGAAACACTGATATAAGGTCCTCTACCAGGGGCCTTCAAGACAAGATTGGGGAGATGTGATAACTGTTCTGAGATATCTGAAGAGCTATCTTGTGGAAGATGAAATTTTAGAGTTGTTCCAAAAGACAGGATGAGGAATAATGGATTTAAATTACCAGGAAATAGATTTTTGGTGGACACCAGGAAACCTTTCCTTATGGTACTAGAAACTATTCAACAATGGAAACGATTGTCATGGTAGACTCTCCTGGAATGACCCATTTGTCATCCAACACTGATTGGATGACCCATTTGTCAAGGATCCCCTAATAGTGAATGCCTGATGAGATGCTCACCGATGTCACTTCTATTCTTTCCATTCTATACATAATTGTCATATGGCTAATTTGTTAAAAGCTGTGAGGGGCTAAGTGCTGATGTAAGAACTGTGTAGAGCCCCTTTATATCCGCTTCTTCCATTCTCTAAAGTTGACCCAACAACAAGAACGTTGCTTTAATATTGCAATGCACTTGGCTGTTTCAGAATGCTCTGAATGCAGATCCAATGGTGCCACTACAGTCTGCAAGTTGGGAAGTAGCCAAAGGTATTCAATTAGCAATGTTGCACTATAACAGTCACTGACTACCTTCAGCCAACATGTTTAACCACTCATTTAGTTATCCATGTTGAGGGTATCAACTGTCCGGCTGGCAAATTCAATATCAAAGAAATTCTATGGTCTTGAGGTGCCATAAGAGATAATCTTTATTGAATACACTTCCTGGCACTGAAGAAGCAAAATCAACTCTAGTTTTCCCACACAAGAATCTGGTTAGCTAACAATAGCTTTTCAAAAATCCCACCCACCAAGTGTTCCTGTTGCCCAATCATATCCCTTCGGTTTGTTATGTGAACGATCCACATCTCTGTCAGACACCTGCTTCGGATGGCCTTGGTTCTCATAGTCCATGCATGGCTTCTTGAAACTCCCATTTCTTTCCCTGGCTCTCCCTCCCCCCTGTTTCTATGACAAGTTGAGTAGCGACAGAGGTTAGCAAGCATCTTAGCAATTCAACCTTGACAGAGGGATTCACATACCACTCCGTACCCTGAAGAAAACCAACCAAGGGAAAAACGAATAGAATTCTCATTTTCAGGGGTCAGTGCCAGCTGGGGAAGTGTGTGTGGGGGTGTAGGGTATCTGTCACAAGGCCACTAAAGCATCCAAAAACTAACTGACACTTTAGAAGATACAGAGTATTACATTTGGCTGATTCCATTGATAGAATTGGTTGTAAGACAGAGCCACGTGATGCTCAATTGATTACATTCCTTAATCGTTATATTTTCCCAACAGACCATCGTATAACTACATCATTCTCCAGAAGCTGTGTAGATCCTTCAAATCATTTGACAGGCAGCTTCTATCTTGATTTTGGAAATGACAATATTTTGGACTTTAACTCTCAGCTTTGCAATGAATCAGATCCACAATGCAGCCTGAGCCTTGCAGGTATGTAAACAGCTTTTGAATCTTATTCTGCTTCTGGCACTTTTCCTTTTGGAATGGTTGACAAAAGAAATCTACTTATGGGGAAATTCCAGTGGAAAGAAGTGATATCTTTCTAGGCCAGTGGTTCTCAACCTTTTTAATGCCACAACCCCCAACTGGTCGTAAGTCAAGGACTACTCAACCGGTCGTAAGTCAAGGACTACTCAACTGGTGCAGCACCATTTGCAGAATGGGACTTCTGGTGGGCTCAGCAGGGCAGAGACAGCCTGGACAATTCCTATTGGCTTTTGAAAGCCAATAGAATTAGACTCTATTCAAGAGAGTCTATTCTATAGGCTTTCAAAAGCCAATAGAATAAAGGGGAGTAGCACAGCTAAGGAAAAGGGGGAAAAAATGGTGGACTGCGTTGTTTGGCGACCCCCGTGAAATGGTCGTTCGACCCCAAATGGGGTCCCGACCCACAGATTGAGAACCACTGTTCTAGGCTTTAACGCTTATATCAAGAACATTTCAAGAGTCTACTCCTATTTGTGAAAGGAGAGAGAACTGGATAGCATTAGAAATATTTGGAAGAGAATGACCAAACATTTGATCAAATTCTCTTTGGAAGGAGAGAAAGAAAAGGCCTGGCCACCTGTAATGGAATAGAATAAAGCTGGAAGGGACCTTGGGGTCTTCTATTCCAGCCCCTGCTCAAGCAGGAGAACCTACACCATCTCAGACAAGTGACTGTCCAGCCTCTTCTTAAAAATCTCCAGTGATGGAGCGCCCACGATTTCTGTAGGCAAGCTGTTCCACTGGTTGATTGTCCTCACTGTTAGGAATTTTCTCCTTAATTCCAGGTTGCTTCTCTCTTTGGTCAGTTTCCAACCATTGTTTCTTGTCCTGCCCTTTGATGCTTTGGAGAATAGTTTGACCCCCTCTTCTTTGTGGCAGCCTCTCAAATACTGGAATACTGCTATCATGTCACCCCTAATTCTTTTCTTTGGACTGGCCAAAAGTCCTGTAGCCATTCTTCATATGTTTTAGTCTCCAGGCCTTGGATCAGTGGTGGGTTTCAGCCAGTCCACGCCAGTTTGGCAGAACCGGTAGCTAATTTTTTGTTGTCCAAGCCCAGAATGGACTTCCGGAAGTGGCATCCACACAGAGAATCAGTTGTTCACATATTTGAATCTCACCACTGCCTTGGATCATCTTAGTTGCTCTTCTCTGAACTTTTTCCAAGGTCTCAACCTCTTTTTTGTAGTATGGTGACCAAAATTGGTTGCAGTATTCCAAATATGATCTCACTAGGGTTTTATAAAGCAGTACTAATGTTTTGCATGACATCTCCTCTATAGGTAAAACTCACAAAAACAAAGAGATGTTTTTAAACCAGGACGAGACAAGATGGTTCCAGTTGTTTGTCTTCAATGCCCATTCATTTAAGCTGGCATGGTCCATTTTTAGTTCACCTTCACTAAACGTACCAACACCACCAACAAAACCTCATGTCAAATAAATATCATGAGCAAATTATCCCACATACCCTTTGTATAGGGTTTTTTTAAAAAACAAATTCTGCAATTTCTCATTTCACATTTTTTTTTTTTTAAAAAAAGTTTTTTTTAGGGCTTTTGAGTTCTAAAAATGTTGACTGTGGAGCCCTTGGGGGCACAGTGGTTAAATGCAGTATTGCAGGCTAACTCTGCCCACAGCCTGGAGTTTGACCCGGACGGACTCGAGGTTGACTCAGCCTTCCATCCTTCCGAGGTTGGTAAAATGAGGACCCAGATCTCTGGGGCAATAGGCTGACATGGTAAACTGCCCAGAGAGTGCTATAAAACATTATGGAGCAATATATAAGTCTAAGTGTGATTGCTATTGCTATTGGGTTTTTTTAAGACTATATTTTCCTATTTGAAGCAGAACCAAAGATTGCCCCTTTGGATCAGGGCAAAGCATGGCAGGAACATGCTGAAATTCCTTCTGGAATTCAAAGGCAGCAGAGCTTGAGGGACATCAGACTATCAGAAAGACAAAATGGTTGTAAATCCAATTATTCTACTGTTTAGCAGATTCCCCAGGGGTAAAAAGTCTGCGAAAGGAAAAATAAGCTGTGTTGATAATTGCTCTACATCAATTATTTTGCTACATGAACTTATTCTGTCACTTGCAGGTAATCCCATGCGCAACTATGAAAATGGGAAATATTGCCCAAAATGTTTCAGAACAGGTTACGATAACTGTGATGATGATGGAGAAGTGTTTTGCGTGGGTGATTTAGTGAACTGCACTGAAGTGAAAGGACAAATAACCCATAGATTTTCTGGTAAGTTGCCTTTATTATTCCACTTTTATTTAAACTCTCTTTGCTGTTAGCTAGAGTAAGCCAACTGATACCTTCAGTTTTCAAAAAATCTGTTCAACTTTGCAATACAGGGAGCAAGGGAATGCTAAGAACATGCTACAGATGTGATGGCAAGGGGACAAACTGCCAATTTTAAAACAGCTAGCACTCAGGTCATAACCATTTACAAAACCTCAGTTTTTTTAGAACAGGCAGGTAGCCCTTGACTTAAAACTATTCATTTAGTGGGCATTCAAATTTACGACAGCACTAAAAAGATGTGATAGACTTTTATCCACTTCTTGAATTTCAGCAGTTCAGATGTATGGACTGTGTGTGTGTGTGTGTGTGTGTGTGTGTGCGTGTGCGTGTGTGTGTGTGTGCGTGTGTGTATGTGTGTATGAGTCAATTCAGCATTATGCAGTAGATTTGTACTCCAAATCGGAGTAAAACATACTTCACATGAACATAATAACAGGGTTGGAAGGTACCTTGAAGGTCATCTAGTCCAACCCCCTGCTTAGGCAGGAAACCCTATACCATTTCAGACAAATGGCTGTCTGGTTTCTTCTTAAAAACTTCCAGTATTGGAGCATCCACAACTTCTGGAGGCAGGTTGTTCCACTGGTTAATTGTTCTGACTGTCAGAAAATTTCTCCTTAGTTCTAGATTGCTTGTCTCCTTGATTAGTTTCCATCCATTGCTTCTTGTCCTGCTTTCAGATGCTTTGGAGAATTGCTTGACCCCCTTCTTCCATGAGGCAGCCCCTTAGAAATTGGAACACTGTTGTCATGTCACTCCTAGTCCTTCTTTTCATTAAAGTAGACATCCCAAATTCCTGCAACAATTTTTCATATATTTTAGGCTCCAGTCCCCTAATCATCTTTGTTGCTCTTCTCTGCCCTCTTTCCAGAGTCTGAACATCTTCCATTGAGATACTGATAAGCAGTTCAATGTAAATCTTTTTTTTTAAAAAAAAAGTCCTGGAGAAGGAACCTACTTTGTGGGTGGGAGAAGTTCAAAAAAGGCACGCCCAATCAAAACTTTATACAGTAATTGTCATTAATCAGAAATGTAACAGGCCACCACCTAATCAAAACGTCTGCCTCTTTCAATGCGGGATTGTGGCCGCCATTTGATTTCTCTGCTCCACGTCCATCGGGGGCCCTGTCCTTAGTTGAGACATTTTTCATACATTGGATGAAAAGACAATGTTGTTGTTAGTTGTGAAGTCATGTCCGACCCATCATGACCCCATGGACAACATTCCTCCAGGTCTTCCTGTCCTCTACCATCTTCTGGAGTCCCTTTAAGCTCCCACTTACTACTTCAATGACTCCATCCAGCCACCTCATTCTCTGTCGTCCCTTTCTTCTCTTGCCCTCCATCTTTCCCAGCATCAGGCTCTTCTCCATTGAGTCCTTTCATCTCATTACGTGGCCAAAGTACTTGAGTTTCAACTTCAGAATCTGCCCTTCTAAAGAGCGGTCGGGGTTGATCTCCTCTAGGACTGACCGGTTGGATTGCCTTGCAGTCCAGGGGACTCGCAGGAGTCTTCTCCAGCACCATAGTTCAAAGGTCAGGTCATAGCAGAGAGTTCTGACAAAATGTGATCTGCTGGAGAAGGAAATGGCAACCCACTCCAGTATCTATGCCATGAAAACCCCATGGAACAAGTAGAAATTACTTTTAACAAATAAATAACTTTTTTTTTCTCCTTCTGCCTTAGATATTACAATCCCTTTTGCTGGAAAAGGCTGTGTCAGTCGATCGGTTTGCAACATTGGAGGAAAGTCCATCCAGCGCGGGAGTTACAAGTTGAAATTTAACGAGGTCCAGTGTTCTGAAGCCAACGGGGCTTTTTCAACATTGCGACGCCTGGCTTTCACTTTGGAAAAGAAGGACCTCGGACCACAGGCGTCCTTCTTCTTCCCATGCATTCTCGGGATCTTTGCTGTTAAAATTCTCTCCTAGTTAAGTCAAAGGTAAATGGCAAAGGCCTCAAGAAGGATTGGGTTGGAATCAACTCCACCACCCCTTTAACACTGACGATGTTGCCGAGTTTGATACTGAAACATCTGCAAGAAAAACACCAAGCTCGCAGATCACCAAGGAGCCCACCACTAAATTCACACTGCAAAACCTCTCTGTTGCCACTCTTAATGTCCTTCTCAAAGTTGCCATCTATATTTTTTTTCAATGGGAGAAATCATGAACTGAATGAGAATTGTTAATCGCAATTAATGTCAGTTTTCGTTCCCTTTACATGGAATTCAAATGAATGTTGTTTGTGTCCTGCCCCTGCAATTTTTTGACTCTATCTCCTGGCTGAGGAGGTCGAGAATCCCACTCAAAGGCTAAATTCAACTTCAGACCCCCCCCCCAAATTTGCTTAACTCCAGTATATTTTCCTTGAAGAGTTTGGTGACATTAAACCACAATGTTGCTTGAAGCAGGATGAACTTGGTGAATGGAGCAACAACACCTAGGCTTTCACAATATCATTTCATATTTCAAAGCAACTGACCCATCCAAAAATAATTTACCTCAAAATGCAGTGTTCTAACACCTGAATTTCCATCAATCAATTTATATATATCTACAAGTACATATATATTTTATCAGGGTTTGGGTGATATATTTATATAACATGACACTTAAACGGTTGTTCTTAAAACTTGACATTGAAATGTTGCGATCATTGTTGACATAGACCAATATCCTTTGATCTGTATGAGACCACTGTTTGCAGACATTTCCTCTCTCTGGAAAGAAAGCTTCAGTTAATGCTACATTTTTCTACCTTTCCAGTTGAATTGTCATGAAATTAAAATAAAAGGAATTGGAGATTAACTCTCCAGTCTTACTGTTGCTGCTGTTGTTTTTCATAAAGCTTCCAATTCATCTTTATTTCCTTTCTTACCCTTCTTCTTTTGGAAAGTCTGGAAAGGTCGCATGTCATGCCAAGGGAAAGCCATGGTTTATTTAAATGCTGGTTTGTTGATTCACACATTACATTAATCCATCAACCCCAGTGGTGGGATTCAGCCGGTTCGCACCACTTCGGCAGAACTGGTAGCTAATTTTTTTGTTGCCCAGGCTCAGAATGGACTTCCGGAAGCGGCATCCACACACAGAACCTGTTGTTCACATATTTGAATCCAATCACTGATCAAACCCAGTGTATAAACACTAACAAATGTATTCGCTTACAGTGTTGAAGTTTCTGCATTTTGACTTCTAGTCAAAAAGAATAAATGTTTGAACTGGGCATTCTAGTCATTTCTGAATATAGTACAGGATATCATGTTCAGCTTTCCTGTGTTGGCAGCCTTGAAGAGAAAGGGATACTCAAAGGATCAGGTATGTCTTCCATTCTAAAGCATCATCCTCTATCTTAGAAACTGGGAGCTGGAGAATACCTTAGGCATGACAACCCAGCTTGGTGACTTTGGGTCAATCTCCAGGCGACTGTGAGTTCTAGCCCTGTTTTAGGCATGACTTTGGGTAGTCCCTCTTGCTCAACCTAACCCACCTCACAGAGTTGTTGTGGGAAAACTAGAAGGAAGAAGGAATATTATGTATATTTGCTGCCTTGAGTTGTTTATACAAATAATGAAGCCTGGATATACAAATACGTAAGTAAGTAAGTAAGTAAGTAAGTAAGTAAGTAAGTAAGTAAGTAAGTAAGTAAATAAATAAATAAATAAATAATCTTTGCTTTCTTCCACACCTCTCTCCTAAATAAGTTTATCCAGTTATGGAAGGTATAGCAGGTGAAGGTTAAGAACGTGATGGTAACTTGTGACTTTTCCTTCCTTCCTTCCTTCCTTCCTTCCTTCCTTCCTTCCTTCCTTCCTTCCTTCCTTCCTTCCTTCCTTCCTTCCTTCCTTCCTTCCTTCCTTCCCTTCCTCTCTCCCTCTCTCCCTCCCTCTCTCCCTCTCTCCCTCCCTCTCTTCCCACTTGACAAATCCCCCCCCCCAAAGTCTAAACAGCTTGCAGTCTTGTGGGAGCTGAGCTTGAAGTTTGGTGATGTCATGGACATATCCACAAAGTTCTTTGGTAACAATTTCATATATGATGGTTTTTGATTAGTTTTATTAATGCAACCCTATCTTGAAATGACATCAGTTATGGTCAATATGTTCACCTAGTCAGAGGGCTCTGACCAAGAACAACTTCAAAGTCTGCTCAGGGGCCTTTCTAGGAGGCCAGAAATCAGAAGATTTATCCCTCTGGAGCAGCAGAAAAGTTGACAGTAACATGAATTTTCCTGTCCTTTGTGATCATAAAAAGCAATAAGGAAACACAGAGTGGTATGAAAGAACATTAAACTCTTGAATTGTGGGCACACCCTCCTTTGGAGAATGCTAAAGGCTAGGTTATTGCCCTACAAAATGCAGTGAATGAAATTCCTTGAGATAGCACCTATGACAATTAAATATTTCCATGGAGACCTGTTGAGTTGAATCACAGGGCTGAGAGTCTGCATTCAAACCTATTTCCTGGAGGTTATCTCTTTCTGATGGTTTAATATACCAGCCATAGATGCTATCTTTCGTATGGTGATATCGGTCCACCAATGGTTGGATGGCTAGAAGATAGAATTTAATTGAGAATAGAATAGAGCTGGAAGGGACCTTGGAGGTCTTCTAGTCCAGCCCCCCGCTCAAGCAGGAGAACATATGGCTGTCCAGTCTCTTCTTAAAAACCTCCAGCGATGGAGCAACCACAACTCCTGAAGGCAAGCCGGTCCATTGGTTAATTATCCTCACTGTTAGGAAGTTTCTCCTTAATTCCAGGTTGCTTCTCTCTTTGGTCAGTTTCCAACCCTTGTTTCTTGTCCTGCCCTCTGGTGATTTGGAGAATAATTTGACCCCCTCTTCTTTGTGGCAACCCCTCAAATACTGTACCGGAACACTCCTATCATGTCACCCCTGCTTCTTCTTTTCTTTAGACTAGCTAAACCCAAGTCCTGCAGCTGTTCTTCATATGTTTTAGAGTCTCCAGGCCTTTGATCATCTTAGTTGCTTTTCTCTGAACTTTTTCCAAGATCTGAACACCTTTTTTGTAGTATGGTGACCAAAATCGGTTGCAGTATTCCAGGACTTTCTCAACTTGCAAAGACAAATAGATCCTCAATGTTTCCTCTTTTTCCTTCTGTAGCCTAGTGCTCATTCATTGGCCATGAGTAGGAAGCCTCCTTAGCTACTCCAGTTACAATAGTCTTTTGCTCTTCATTCCAACACCAACACCATCCAAGATCAGCTTCAAGGTGGGCAGAACACCTTACCATGGAGGGAAATCAAAGGACTGATACAGGTAGTCCTCAACTTACGACTTACATCCATCTGTTTAATGACTGTTCTAAGTCACAACAGCACCGAAAATAGTGACTTTGGGCTGTTTTTTTTATACTTATGTTGAAAGAAAAATCTTCATCAGGGTCCAGTCCAAGTTGGGAATAAACAACATGGAGGCTGCTTTAGAAAGAAGGTTGAGGTTTATTAAGGAGAGTTGCCAGGCAGAAAGATGGCTCTGAAAAAACTGACCACATGTAGTAGGGAGTGGTGGATTTTTATACCTTTGGGGGCTTTTGTTTGGAGTTGTTCCTGTGGCATGAACTTTGACCTGAGTCTGAATGTGCCTTTCTGGTATTCTGATGGTGGTGGGCTAATCCTATTATGTCCCAAGGGTCATATCCTGCTTCCCTGGGGTTGTGGCTGATGGCTTTGTCCTGTGTTGGATTTTTTTTTTTGGTGTGAGGGATTGTTGATTTTAGGTATCTTTGTCTTTCTGACTCTAATCTTTCTGACAAGATTATCACATCTGCATTTCTGCAGACCTGGTTTCTGTTTGGGGCACAGGGACTGGGGGGAGGGGAGAGATTGGTTTCTGCCTTTAAGATCCTTTGGGGAAATATAATATTTTGCCTTTAAATATTCCCCAAAAGATTTTATTTTTCTGGGCTCCAAGATCACCTCAGATGGGGACTGCAGCCAAGAAATTAAAAGACGCTTGCTCCTGGGGAGGAAAGCTATGGCAAATCTAGACAGCGTACTAAAAAGCAGAGACATCACCCTGCCAACAAAAGTGCGTATAGTCCAGGCCATGGTTTTCCCAGTTGCAATGTATGGCTGTGAAAGTTGGACCATAAGAAAGGCTGAGCGCCAAAGAATTGAGGCCTTTGAACTATGGTGCTGGAGAAGACTCCTGCGAGTCCCTTGGACTGCAAGGCGTTCAAACCGGTCAGTCCTAGAAGAGATCAACCCCGACTGCTCTTTAGAAGGCCAGATCCTGAAGTTGAAACTCAAATACTTTGGCCACCTAATGAGAAGGAAGGACTCACTGGAGAAGGGCCTAATGCTGGGAAAGATTGAGGGCAATAGAAGAAGGGGACGAAAGAGAATGAGATGGCTGGATGGAGTCACTGAACTTAAATGGACTCCAGAAGATGGTAGAGGACAGGAAGACCTGGAGGAACGTTGTCCATGGGGTTGCGATGGGTCGGACACGACTTCGCAATTAACAACAACAAAATTCCCCAAAAATATTTCTTTCATGGGGGGAGGGCTGCTGACTTCCCACACTTAAGACCATTGTTTCATCCCCATGGTCCCATGATCAAAATTTCAGATGCTTGGCAAGTGGTGCATATTTATGACGCTTGTTGTATCCCGGGGTCATGACATCACCTATTTGCAAAATTCTAACAAGCCAAGTCAATGGGGAAGCCAGATTAACTTCACAACCGTGTTACTAACTTAACAAGTGCAGTGAACCACTGAACAACTCTGGCCGGGAAAGTTGCAAAATGGGACAAAACGTGCTCAACAACTGTCCCGCTTAGCAAGAGAAATTTGGGGCTTAATGGCGGTTGTGAGTCAAGAACTACCTGCAACAGGTGAGGACTGCAGAAATTAGAGGCAGGATAGAGACTGGCAACAGGTCAGCAGGTGTCACTCGAGGGCGTTTTTCTCTTGACCTAAGATTGGGTGGAAGCACCACCCAATCTCGATTTACAATCATTTGTTTAATCGCCGTTCCAAGTTACAACGGCATTGGGAAAAGCGACTCAGGACCAGTTTTCGCACTAAAGCAATATTGGCAACTTTAAAGTGGGTGGATATCAATACCAAGAATTCCCCAGCCAGCAGAGGAGCTGTAATCCAAACACGTTGTTGCTGTTGAGAAACACTGATCTAGAGCTGTGTATTTTCAACCTTACCAGCTTGAAGATGCGTGGACTTCAACTCCCAGAATTCCTCAGTCAGCACAATGAAGCCCATACATCTCAAAGTTGCCAAGGTAGAAAAACACTTCTCTAAGCAAGAAACGAATCAACTCAATGCCCAGAATCAAAAACGTTTTCAGCTACCATTGCACAATTCTACATATCCTAGTTTCCTCTGATGCTTTTACCTAGTTGGGGTAATGAAACATCTGCAGGAAAACAACCAAATTTGAGAGCACCAAGGACCCCTCACTAGATATTTTGGCATCTTTCCAGCGCTTGAAACCTCCATGTCTGTTCACCTTCCCAGTTGGAAAGAATTCAATGGGAAGTCTTCTTTCATGCTTTCCTTTGCAATTCATCTGAGGAGCCTAAAAAGCTGAAGCTTGTTAGGGAATGGACATTTCATGCACACAGCACCATTTTGATTGGAGCCACACAAAAATCATTGGCCACACCACCACCATTCTGGGAGTTGAAGTCCACATATCTTCAAACTGCCAAGGTTGAGAAACACTGCTCTAGAAAAACAGGGTTTCAAAATGACAACAGCAGCAGCAGCAACAATTACAACAGAAACCACATTTCCTTTTTTAAAAAAAGAAATAAAAATAGAAAAATCAAATTTCCTGTCTCTAGACCAAAATCCAGAAGCAGTTTGCAAGTAATTAACACAGTGTAATGAATTGCTTGATTTGAACCTTGCTTATGGATTCTTTGGGAACGGATGTGGAAATGAGTTGATATAACAACAAACTTATTGCGTAGGGTGCAATTCCAACCATTATGTGTGCGGGCCTGTGCGTGCGTATAGCTTGGAGTGCATATCCGCCTAAACTGAAAACACCAATTTGTGTTTCATGCAGCTTCTCGAAGCACGAAGCTGAAAACACCAGCCTGAAGATGACAAATGGGACTTTGTCGAAATGTTGCCAAGACACTTCCAATTCTACGTGGGAGAAAACCCAAATAACCAAAGACCTACATATATATATTTGTTTTCTGAGGTTTTCGCGGGTGACTGTATGTAGGTCTTTGGTTGTTCGGGTTTTCTCCCGCATAAAATTGGAAGTGTCTTGGCAACGTTTCGACGAAGCCCCATTCATCATCTTCAAGCTGGTGTTTTCAGCTTCGTGCTTCGAGGAGCCTCTGGCATGTTAGAACGCTGAAAACACCAACCTGAAGATGACGAATGAGACTTCGTCGAAACGTCGCCAAGACACTTCCAATTTTACGCAGGAGAAAACCCGAACAACCAAAGACCTACATACAAGCACCCGCAAAAACCTCAGAATGAATATATATATATATTTAATATAAACAAGCCTGTGGTTAAAAAGAGTGACTAAGCTTTCGTCCGGCCAAAAAACTGCCGGCATCATCAGAGTTAGAATAGCAGGAGATTGGGAAGGCAGCTCATATAGCCTGTGCCCGGCTCCTTGAGCGCGTCATTGGCCTGTTGATTGTGTTAATCCTTATCACACCGAGTTATTCCGCATCAGGCAAACTGTCTTTGACTCCACTGGTTGTTTTACGATCCTCAAGTGCTCTTTTTGATCGTGTGCAAGCACTTGGAGGGTGGCTGTCAATCTGTCCCTGTGCCCAGTCCCCCTCCCTCCCAGGGCCATTATCCTCCCCCACCCCCAAGGCCATTGTTGTAATTCCTCCATCCCAGTCCTGCAACAAGCAGATGTTCCGGCATTCCTGCTCTCTGTCTTCCTCCTCCCTCCCCCTCCTTCCAGATCGCCTCAGCACTTCCATCCCTGGCTTAAGGCCATTTGGTCCATCATCTCTTGGTCCATGTGAGATCCATGTGTGTCGTGGTCGTCCCATCTATAGAGCCATCGTCCCAATTATGTAAAACGCTGTCATCTTTTTCCTTGGAGATCGTGCCTGTCTCATCCATCATTCTACCACCCCAATCCTGACAAGAAAGAGTTAAATGTCTTCTCAGTAGGCTGTGGTGCTGTTGTTCCCATCTCCTAAGCATCTGGTAGGCCGGCACAAGGTCTATATGCCGGTTGATGGAATTTTCATTAGAGAGCCAGGCTTCCTTAAGTAGGCGGCCACCCTTGGTAGTCTCACGAGCTATAACCTCTGCGTTAGCTAGATCGAAAGTGTGGCCAGAGCTGGACATATAGGCCTACACTTATGAGTGTTGCTCCTGCCTTCTAATAGCCAGTTCATGCTCATGAACCCTGGTCCTCAGTCTTTTAGTGGTTTCCCCAACGTAATTGCTTGCACAGTCCTTGCAATTAATTCTGTAAACCACAGATGATCTTTGACCGTTGGGGAGCGGTTCTTTTGGATGCATGATCTTGGACCTAAGGGTGTGCTCGGGCCTGTGGGCAACGCTCACATTGTAGGGGGCCAATCCAAAGACATAAGCAGGCATCACCCATTGTCACGCCCTTGGACAGTGTAAATACTGCTAAGAGGAAAAAATATATCCTCCAATCTACCATTCTTTTTTGTCAAAAGGCAGAGGGCTCCCAGCCACTCCCGGCCTATAAATACTCACCCGGAGAAGATCTCGGTCTCAGAGAACCGAGACCGACCTGAACGGCATCACGATGGCTTCCTTTGTGCTCTTCATCTTCATCATCTTGCTCCTTCCTGTGGAAAGATCTGCTGAACCAGAAAGTATGTTGGGCTTTTCGAATTGATTTTTACTTCTTCTGAGGCAGTTTGTAGCTGTTTTCTACCGAACAATCAAAGTTTTGAGTTAGGCAGCTGTTTCTTCCTCTCAGGAACTCTCAGATCGCATCAACCGAATATATTCTCTACGATAGCCAGCTGAGGTGATCAACTTCAGATGGCCTGATGGAAGGATGGGGAAGCAAGGAAGGTGGAATGGGGTTCCCTGATCCAGCAGGGTTCGTGGGAAGCTCAGGCAGCAAAATATCTGGGATCAATATTGGAACATACTGAAACGTGGATTGAGTTAGACCGCTGAACTGCACAGAGCACAATGTGGGCAGCCAGAGCATTTAATAAAATCAATCATTCAGATTGGTTTAGTCAGAAACTCTTCCCATGGAAGAGAATGCAAATCAATGGAATTTGAGCTAAATGTTGAACACAGTCGGAATCTAGGCAGATAGTTATGATAATTTCTTAATGTTGTTATCTTACTGCTACTTAGGGATTAATACAAGGTTTGACTTGACTTGTTTTATCTTGTTTTTAAAAAAGTTATAGAATTTCAACCAAAGTCTGTTCATCTGTGGGTATCTTTCCATTCCTCCCTAGTGTAATGTCTCGCTGTGTTTCATTATGTGTGTGTGTGTGTCGATAAAAAGCACAAGTCTTTTGTAAGTTTTTTATTTTTATTTTTTTGGGGAGGCGGGATGACTACTCATTCCATACCAAACATGGCTTTCTTCCTCTATGCAACCAGACGTTCCTCACAAGCCATTTACAGAATTTCTTTCCAAACATCTGCTGGGATGGGAATAATAAAATTGGAAGAAGGCTAGAGTCCATTTCAATATTAAAGTATATTTATAGCATAGTAACACAACTGAAATCTGAAGGAGTCTCAAACAAACATTTTTTCTTTTTTCTTTTGAATCCTTACCACTCTCTTTAGCATGCTATGAATGTTACATTGATAAAGGGGATTACTGTGATGGTGTCAAAAAAACCTGTATAAATCAAACGTGCTTAGGTGTTCATTCTGCGGCCAACTTGTCACTAGGTAAGTGGATTAATTTTTGTGTTCCTCTTGTCTATGATGTTGATTTGGATGAAGATATGGAGAAATTATCTCCACGATATTTTGGTTTCATATAAAGCAGTGTTTCGATTTTCAGACACGTAGACGACAACTCCGAGAATTTTGAGAAACACTGATCTAAAGTATGTCTATCCATGTTTAGGGACTTGTGTGTGTGTATCAAAGTTCCCTTTTCACCCTGATGGTGGTCCATGTCTTCCTCAATCTCAGGTCCTCTATCAGGGACCTTGAAGACAAGATTGGGGAGATGTGATAACTATTTTCAGGTATCTAAAGAGCTGTCTTGTAGAAGATGAGGCAGAAATTTTATAATTGTTCCAAAAGATAGGATGAGAAATAATGGATTTAAATGACCAGAAACAGATTTTTGAAGGACACCAGGTAGCCTTTCCTTATGGTAGGAACTATTCAGAAATGGAAACAATTGTCTTGGTAGATGGTAGTGGACATTTTGGTTTCATGTAATGCAATGTTTCTCAAACTTGCCGATTTTCAGACAAGTAGACGTCAACTCCAAGAATTTTGAGAAACACTGATATAAGGTCCTCTACCAGGGGCCTTCAAGAGAAGATTGGGGAGATGTGATAACTGTTGTGAGATATCTGAAGAGCTATCTTGTGGAAGATGAAATTTTAGAGTTGTTCCAAAAGACAGGATGAGGAATAATGGATTTAAATTACCAGGAAATAGATTTTTGGTGGACACCAGGAAACCTTTTCTTATGGTACCATAAACTTTTCAACAATGGAAACGATTGTCATGGTAGACTCTCCTGGGATGGATATGTTTCAACACTGATTGGATGACCCATTTGTCAAGGATCCCCTAATAGTGAATGCCTGATTAGATGCTCACCGATGTCACTTCTATTCTTTCCATTCTATACATAATTGTCATATGGCTAATTTGTTAAAAGCTGTGAGGGGCTAAGTGCTGATGTAAGAATTGTGTAGAGCCCTTTTACATCCGCTTCTTCCATTCTCTAAAGTTGACCCAACAATAAGAACGTTGCTTTAATATTGCAATGCACTTGGCTGTTTCAGAATGCTCTGAATGCAGATCCAATGGTGCCAGTACAGTCTGAAAGTTGGGAAGTAGCCAAAAGTATTCAATTAGCAATGTTGCACGATACCAGTCACCGACTACTTTCAGCCAACATGCTTAATTGCCTGTTTAGTTATCCATGTTGAGGGTTCACATACCACACACGACCCTGAAGAAAACCAGCCAAGAAAAAAACTAATAGTATTCTCATTTTCAGGAGTCAGTGCCAGCTGGGGGAGTGTGGGGTGGAGCTGTAGGGTATCTATCACAAGGCCACAAGTGAGGCATCCAAAAACGAACTGGAGCTTTGAAATTGCAGAGTATTACATCTGGCTGTAAAACTGATAAAACTGGTTGTAAGACAGAGCCAGGTGATGCTCAATTGATTACATTTCCTAACCATTGTTGTTGTTGTTTTTTGCCAATAGAACATTCTCTAATCTCATCGTTCTCCAGAACTTGTGTGGACCTCTCAAATAATTTGAATGGCTCCTTCTATTTTGATTTTGGAAATAAGATTACTTTGGACTTTAATTCTGAGAACTGCAATGGAACACAATGCATGTTTGGAACTTTAGGTAGGTAAACAGCTTTTGAATCTTACTTTGCTTCTGACACTTTCCTTTTTACAACGGTTGAATGGAAAGAAGTGACATTTTTCTACAGGTAGTCCTTGACTTACAACCCTTTGTTTAGTGCCTGTTCAAAGTTAAAATGACACTGAAAAAAGTGACATGACAATAAATCAAATTGTTTTGCTACATGAACTCTCATTCTGTGACCTGCAGATCCTCCAATTCGCAAGTATGAAAATGGGAAATCTTGCCCGAAATGTTTCAGAACAGGTCACGATGACTGTGAGGAAGATGGAGAAGTGTTTTGCGTGGGTGATTTAGTGAACTGCACTGAAGTGAAAGGACAAATAACCCATAAATATGCCGGTAAGCTGTCTTTATCATATTTAAACTCCTTTTGCTGTTAGCTGTGTTAAGCCAACCAGCATCAGACTCTTCAGGTGTAAGAAAAGCTGCTCAACTTTGCGGTACAGGTATCTAGGGAATTCTAAGAACATGCTACATATGTGATGACATGCCACCAGCCAGTGGACAAACAGCCAGTTCAAAACAGCTAGCACTAGGGCAGGGCTAGGCAACCTTGACTCTTTTATGACTTGTGGCTTTCAACTCCCAGAATTCCTGAGCCAGCATGGGGGAACTATGGCCCCCTCATGACTCATGGACTTCAACTCCCAGAATTCCTGAGCCAGCAAGGCTCAGCTTGGAAACCTCTCCCTTTCCCCTCAGCATGGCTGGCTCAGGAATTCTGGGAGTTGAAGTCCATAAGTCATAAAAGAGCCAAGCTTTCCTACCCTGCTCTAGGGTTATAACCATTCACAAAATCTCAATTTATATACCAGTAGTCCTGGACTTACAACCATTAGTTTAGTGTCTGTTCAAAGTTACAACGGCACTGAAAAAAGTGACTTATGATCATTTTTCACAGTTATGACCTTTCCAGCTTGTCCATGATCATGTGATCAAAATTCAGCTGCTTGGCAACTGGTCCACATTTATGACCACTGCTGTGTCCCAAGGACACGTGATCCCCTTTTGCAATCTTCTGATAAGCAATGGGGAAGCCAGATTCACTTAACAACCAGGTTGCTAACTAATCAACTGCAGTGATTCACTTAACAACCAAAGCAAGAAAGGTCGTAAAATGTGGCAAAATTCACCTCACCAAGGTCTCACTTAACAAGAGAAATTCTGGGCTCAGGCGTGCTTATATGTCCATTGTGGTTATAAGCACAACTATTTGTTTAGTGACCACTCAAAGTTATTATGGCATCGGAAAAAAAGCAGTAGATGTCTTTACGCTTCTTGGATTTTAATGATTCAGATAACTACTGACATACATATTATTTATTTATTTATTTATTTATGAGACTTATATACCGCTTTAAGTGCGAGCACTCTCTAAGCGGTGTACACCAGTAAGCAATGTATATATATATATATATATATATTTACATTGCCCCCAACAATCTGGGTCCTCATTTTACCTACCCCGGAAGGATGGAAGGCTGAGTCAACCTTGAGCCGGTGAGATTTGAACCGCTGACCTGCTGAACACAGTCAGCTAAAGTGGCCTGCAGTCCTGCACTCTAACTGCTGCGCCACCTCTACACACATACATACATGTCTCATATTTCCATCTGGGATTGTGATTTCTCTGCTCCATGTCCATCAGTGTCCCTCTCCTCTTGTTTAGAAATCTTTCATACATCTGATGAAAAGAAAATGTACAAATATTTTTAACAAGTCTCTAAAACAAATCACTGTTTCCTTCAGACTTAGATATGACCACAACAATCCCTTTTGCTGGAAAAGGTTGTGTCAGTCAATCGGTCTGCAGCTTGGGATCTAATAAGTCCATCCGCTTTGGGAGTTTCACGTTCACATTTAAAGACATCAAGTGTTCTCCTGCAACCAACGGGGCTCTTTCATCCTTGCGACGCCTGGCTTTCGCTTTGGAAAAGAAGGACCTCGGACCACAGGCGTCCTTCTTCTTCCCATGCATCCTTGGCATCTTTGCTGTGAAAATTCTCTCCTAGTTAAGTCAAAGGCAGCTGGCAAAGGCCTCCAGAAGGACTGGGATGGGGTCAATCTCCCTGCTTTTTAGCACTGATGATGTTACCTAGTTTGGTACTGAAATGTCTGCAAGAAAACCACCAAGCTCAGAGAGCACCAGAGACCCCACAAGTAAATTTAACGCTGCAAAATCTTATAGCTCTCTGTTGCCACTCTTAATGTCCTTCTCAATGTTGCCATCTGTTGGTATTCTTTTATGGGAGAAATTACGAACTAAATAGGAATTGTTAATTGCATTTCATGCAAGATTTCATTCTGTTGATATGGAATTAAAATGAATGTTGTTTATGTCCTGCCTCTACAAAATTTTGGCTCCATCTTCTGAATGAGGTTGAGATTAAATGTAACTTCAGACCCCCCCAAATTTGCTTAGCTCCAGCATATTTTCCTTGAAGTCAATGAGATTTCACTTGAGTTTTATGAATATATTCCATTGACTTCGATGGTGTTAAACTATTGATTTTGCTTGAATCAGTACAATTAAGTTGGTTAATAAAGTAACTGTATCTCTGTGTTCATAGTATCATTTCATATTCCAAAGCAATTGATCCATCCAAAAATAATTTACCTCTAAATACAGTATTCTAACAGCTGATTTCCCATCAATCACTCTCTATATATGCACAGGTTTACTTATCAGGTTTTGGGTGATATATTTATATAATATGATGCTTGAACAGTTGTTCTTAAAACTTGACATTGAAATGTTGCAATCGTTGTTGAAATAGACCAATATCCTTTGGTCTGTATGAAACCACTGTTTGCAGACATTTCCTGTCTCTGGAAAGAAAGCTTCAGTTAATGCTACATTTTTCTACCTTTCCAGTTGAATTGTCATAAAATTAAAATAAAAGGAATTGGAGATTAACTCTCCAGTCTTACTGTTGTTGTTGTTTTTCATAAAGCTTCCAATTCATCTTTATTTCCTTCGTTAATCTTCTTCTTTGGGAAACTCTGGGAAGGTTGCATGTCATGCCAAGGGAAAGCCATGGTTTATTTAAATGCTGGTTTGTTGATTCACACATTACACTAAGCCATCAATCTCAATGTACAAATTCCAGCAGCTGGATTTGCTTATAGTGCTGAAGATTCTGTCTTTTGACTGGCTTGAGTTTAGTGTATGGTATGAATGTGATCAATGTGGGTAATTCAGTTCATCAAAAGTCAACAAAAGGGTTCTGATTTTTTGCAACTATATCTGGTCTAGGACATTGTGTGGAATTGTTTTTGGTTTTCAATAGGAGCTATTTTGGAGTTGACATATAGTTAAATATATTGATATTACGGACTGGGTTCTCATATCAAATTAAGCCAGTTTGCTAAATCACGGTTTGCTGAATAAAAAAAAAAGACTGTGTAGACAAGTTAAACCTACCTGCTCCCCAAAACATTTTGATTGTCATGATGTGAGAATCCAAACAAATTGGAGCTGATCTTCAGAAAGAAATTCAAAAGGAACTGTCTCTCAAAGTGCCAATATATTTCACCATTGCTCTTTTTGGAAGAGTTACCATAATCTGTAGATCAGACCTGGACTGATGAAAAAAACTGATCTGAATCCTAATTGTTAAAATACATACTGTGATCTGTCAGATAATGATACCGTTTATCTCAAAAGAAACTCTGTTCCGGTTACACTGATTCACCATGCAAGTAAAAGTTATTCCGATTATATGATTGGAGAATACAGTTTGAAATGAAATCCTGTAATATTACTCCATTATTACTCATTACTTTTCCATTAAGATATAAGTTCCTAATGGACGTGGATTGTATTTTGCATTCTGTCTCGTCTTATATATTTATTAAAAAAAAACATTGTGCAGTGTGCGTAATGTACAAATGTGGGATGCACCATTACAGCAAGAAGAATCTTCTGAGAACATTGGGCAGCGAATAAAATGTTTGCACTGAGCACTCTAGTCGTTTTTGGATATAGTACATGCTATCATGTTGGTCCTTGCCTAACACTATTGACAGCGTTTGAAGAGAAAGGGATTGTCAAGAGATCAGGTAAGTCTTCAGCTCCAAAGCATCATCCTCTGTCATAGAAATTGGGAGATGGAGAGTTCTATTCCCACCTTAGACAGCTGGGTGACTTTAGGTCACTCACCCGGAGACTGAGAGTTCTAGTCCCACCATAGACATGAAAGCCAGCTGGGTGACTTTGAGCCAACCAGTTAGAAACAATGAGTTCTAATCCCACCTTAGCCATAAAAGCTGGCTGGGTGACTTTGAGCCAACCAATTATAAACAATGAGTTCTAATCCCACCTTAGACATAAAAGCTGGCTGGGTGACTTTGAGCCACTCACCAGGAGATGGTGAGTTCTAGTCCTGACTTAGCCATGAAAGCTGGCTCTCTCAGCCAACCCACTTCACAGGTATGTTGTTTTGGAGAAAAATAGAAGGAAGAAGGAATATTAGGTGTGTTTGCAGCCTTGAGTTGTTGATAAAAAATAATGAAGGCATATAAAAGTAAATAAATTAATTAAAAATCAATTAAAAATCTGCTTGACCCCAGGACACTGCAAGCTGTCATAAATATGAGTTAGTTCCAAGCATCCAAATTTTGATTATCTGACTATGGGGATGCTGAAATGGCTGTAAGTTGGGCAAAGGATCATAAATTACTTTTTTTAATGCTGTTGTAACTTTGAATGGTCGCTAAATGAACTGTTGTAAGTCAAGGGCTACCTGTACACATAACAATGTCAGGCACAAGCTACCAGAACTACACTGGGAGCTGAGCAGGGAAGTATCTTCATTGCTACTTGCCAATTTACAAGAATCTCTCCAAACTAACTACACTCACTATAGAACAACTAGATTAGCCTTCCAAGGTGGAGGGAGGGTCTACTTTCTGTTGTTTCCTGCTCTCCATCGATTCCAGGCTAGCCAGTCTCTTAACTCCTCCTCCCACTTCAGTTGCAGATTTTACCACAAAGAAGTAGACCTTGATCAAATGATTGTGGCCATCCTCTTGATTCTTGGCCTTAGGAAGCAGCACAGTACTGGCAGCATTCTCAGGTGGACCAGACACCACCAGAGGATCTAATTCTACTTTACCATAAGTCTACATTAATTTTGCATGAATCTTGCAAATCTGAAAGTACAAATTTCCTCCTGTCTTTTTTAGTTTCTGAGAGTTGCCTGCATTGCTTGCATTTCTGGGCTACATCCTCTCTTATTTGATCATTCCCAGCATCTCTTCCCCTTCACCAATCCCCCAAGGTCATTCTCACCTATTCATGCTCAGAATGGGGAAAGTCAGCAATTCCCGCCTTCTTAATTTTATCCTAAAAGCTTATGGATGTTGGTATGTTGTTTTCCAGAAGTGTTTTTGGAAAATAAAGTTGGACTCCCTTCTAGTTATTTTCCTAGCAAAGGGTTCTAAAACAGGGGCTTTTCAACCTTTTCACCCATTGTACCACTTTTAGGATATGGCAACATCCGAATCCCACCAGTTGCCTAGCAGGGTGTCAAAAACTTGACCAAAAAAAAAGAGGAAAAAAGTGATAAAGTACAGGCAGTCCTCAACTTACAACAGTTTGCTTAGTGACTGTTCGAGGTTACAATGGCACTGAAAAAGTGCCCCCCAAGCCACAGCCAAGCAAGACAGCGCCAGGCGGCGCTCTTCCTCCTGTCCGAGGTTTTCATTGTTGTCAGCATTTCTGTTGAGGATTGGCAGTGGGGGTGGGGTGGGGGGGTGCTTGGTTTTTATTCCCCCGTCTGCTGGATGATTGCAGCAGGTTTTGGTCACTTCACATGACCCTGGGACACTGTGACCGTCATAAATATGAATCAGTTGCCAAGCATCTGAATATAAATCACAGGACTCTGGAGACGCTGCAACATTCCAGCTGATTGGCACTTCTTCTGGGCTCAGCAGAAGCGTCAGGATCAGTGCTGCTTTCCAGCTGATTGGTGCTTCTTCAGGGCTCAGCAGAAGCACCAGGATCAGTGCCGAGCTCCAGCTGGAGCCTGGTGCTGATCCTAGCGCTTCCGCTGAGCCCTGACAGTCCTGCAGCTCCAGCCATCTCTCACTCAGGCTTGTGCAGTGCTGCCACCAGTTCAGCTTATTTCCCTCCCCCACTACCACTTTTATAGGATGGTCGCGTACCACCTACCAGGTGCCAATGTACCACAGGTGGTACCCGTACCACTGGTTGAAAAGCCCTGTTCTAAAAAGTCATCAAAGATTTGGAAAGTAAAATGAAAAGTTATGACTTTTAGGCACTCAGTATTGGAAAGATCCTGCAATATCCTCAATAGAGGGATGGTTGACAAAGATGTCAGAACTGGCAATGAGGCCCTCTCTGAAAAAAAATAATTTATTCGTCTATAATTGGAGCCCTTTGTGGACTTTTGGCCAAATGTTGACATAGGGATTTGATGATGATTAAAATTTAAAAAGAGGAAAAAAGAAATTTTTTTTTCATTTCCTCTTTTCCTTTCGGGAGGAAAATTGGACATTTTATTATGGTCTTAAACTAAGAGTTGAAAATAAGAAGTCGGAAGAAGAAGTTGGAAGTCATACTTTGTACCCCTTTCTTTCTTTCTATTCTTTTTCATACTTCTATTCCTAGTTTCTTTCTTTCTTTTTTGTTTCTTTTGATTGTTAGAACTAAGGAGAAACTTCCTGACAGTTAAAACAATTAACCAGTGGAACAACCTGCCTCCAGAAGCGGTGAATGCTTCAACACTGGAAGTTTTAAAGAAAAGATTGGAGAGCCATTTGTCCAAAATGGTATAGGGTTTCCTGCCTGAGCAGGGGGTTGGACTTGATGACTTCCAAGGTCCCTTCCAACTTTTATTATTATTATTATCGATCATCGCACAGTCAGCCAGATGTTCAGACTGGATTTGGCATTTTGTTTACCTATCGAATCCTTACCCAGGACCTGGGATAGGCAGATGTGGATGTTTGATGGTATTACAGATATCGTCGCAGGATGGAAGCAGTTCCTAATAAGGCCGCCTTTTGCAATTGACTAATAGTGAATTTGTCAATGCCAATGGTGTTCAAGTGGTGCTCCAGTTGTTTTGGGATTACACCCAAGGCGCCTATGACTATTGGTACTACCCTTGCTTGCCTTTGCCACAGTCTTTCTATTTCTATTTGTAGGTCTTTGTATTTTGTTATCTTCTCCAGTTCTTTCTCTTCTATTCTGCTATCTCCAGGCACTGCCACGTCCACTATCTTTCTTATCGACAATTGTTAAGTCTGGGGTGTTATTATTATTATTATTATTATTTCATGGTTTTTTTTAATGCATATGCTTTGTAAAATTAATAAAATTATTTGAAAAGTAAAATGGAAAGGGGAACTAGGATCCAGCATGATACTCCCCATAGAAATATCCAGGCCCAGACAGCCATCATGGTGCAGTGAATCGGGGAGATACATATTCTAGTCCAGGGGTCTTCAAACTTGGTCCTTTTAGGACTTGTGGACTTCAACTCCCAGAATTCCTCAGCCAGGCACGCATGCCTGGCTGAGGAATTCTGGGAGTTGAAGTCCACAAGTCCTAAAAGGACCAAGTTTGAAGACACCTGTTCTAGTCTCACTTCCGCTACAAACGTTCATGAGATGACTCTCAGCCTAGCCTACCTCACAGGGTTGTTGCTGAGGGCAAAAATGGGAGATGGGAGGGTAGCATTTGCTGCCTTGAGTTCTTGGGCAAAAGACAGAATACAAACAACTAAATCTGCCTGACACGTCAGGCACTAACTCTTTCGTCTTTAATTCAATATTATGAGAGAGGTTTGGCTAGCATGAGACTTTTTTTCATACTTTAATAACATAAAACATAAACTTTCAAAACAGTTAAGTGCTGCAGAAGCTCTTAATGGTCAGCCTTTATTTTTTTTTAATTCACTTTCTCACCGCAGTGCACTTAGACGCTGGATTGGTGCCAGGCCGTGTGTAGCGTGCCATGTTTTTTTCCGACTCTGAAACTGCAGAAGTACATAAGGGTGGACCGGATCAGCACCCCAACACTCCCGATTTTCAATTTCCTAAAAATATAGAAGAAGGAAGAAGAGCAGGGGTGGCAGTAGGGAAATAGCATCCAAGATTTTGTCCCCTGAATTTGAAAGAATCTCACATATCGTATTTGTTTTAATACATATTTTTAAAGGATGGAAACGATAAAATATCTGAGCACAAATAACTATCTGGCAGGAGAAGCCAGCAAGGCAACTTGTCTTTGGAAAGATCATTTGTGATTTTGAACAAAGATGTTTAGAGGACGCCGTGCAGCTCTGCCTGGGGGAAAATCTCTTTTGAAACAGGCGTCTGAATTCTATTAAATCCCAGAGGTCCAACCCTCGTCAACAAGGAGAAAAACCCTCCTGAATTTTAGAGCAAAGAAAAAAGCAACAGCTGGCCAGAGAGAAAGCTAAAAGAATCCCAAGCGGGCTTTGACTGGATTATCAGTGTGGATTTTGGATCCCTCATTTCTAAGGTTTGATGGCTGGGAATTCTGATGGTCCTCCTCACCTTGTTGAGATTGCCAATCTCAAAACAGAAAGAAAGAAAGAAAGAAAGAAAGAAAGAAAGAAAGAAAGAAAGAAAGAAAGAAAGAAAGAAAGGAAGGAAGGAAGGAAGGAAGGAAGGAAGGAAGGAAGGAAGGAAGAGGAAGGAAAGAAGGAAGCAAGAATGCAAGAAAGAAAGCAAGAAAGAAAGCAAGAAAGCAAGAAAATGAAGGAAGGAAGGAAGGAAGGAAGGAAGGAAGGAAGGAAGGAAGGAAGGAAGGAAGAAAAAGAAAGTGCAAACTGCAGAGTGTCTGCACCCAGCAATAAGCCTTAGGCAGCTGATGAAGTGGACTGTAGTCTACAAAATTTGATGTGGGCTAATAAGTGCAATTGTTTTTACGATGATGCAAGACTCTTTACTAGCTTTGAAGCAAAAGGCATGGCTGCCCTTACAGAAAGTTGCTATCTCACCATTGTAGCTTGGCCACGATCCCTTTGTGGGGGGAGGGGGAGGGAGAGACAGGGGTGGAGCCATGATTTGATACCACCTCTCCCTTTTTGGCTCCTTCTCCATAAAGCCAGACCAGCTCTATCAGGGGCAAAGCTCTTGATGCATTTAACAAGCTTCCTAACCCAGCTCTGATTTTCACCCAAATTCTGGCAACATGGAGGCATCGTTTGTTGTCTGCCTTCTTGCAGCCTCCATTACTCTGGGTGAGTACCTTCGTTTGGGATGATTTATGACTGAAGGGGTCCTCTTCTGGATGATGGGTTCCAATCCTTCCAGAATGGGGGGAGAAAGACATTGCCAGTGCTCATTAACTAGATTTGAATGTGTTCCTCCCCCCTTAAGATAGCACCTCATCGTAAATAGGGGATGGCCTTCAGTGACAACAGGTTGAAACAGGACTAGTTCTGCCATTAAAGAAGGCTGAAAGGAGTTGCTCTATTCAGTGCCATGTGGGTGTTTCAATGTGTGTGTGTGTGTGTGTGTGTGTGTGTGTGTGTGTGTGTCTATGCGTGCATGGAATAGAAGCAAAGATCGGACATTACCCCTGAATTGTATCTGAAGAGGGATGAGAGGGAAGAAAGGAGAGGAGAGAGAAAAGAGTAAAGGAGGAGAGAAGGAAGTAGGAAGGTTGGAGGAAGAGGAAAGGGGAGGAGAGTGGTGAAGGAAAGGAGAGGAAGAAGAGGGAAGTAGGGAAGAGAAGAAAGGGAGAAAGAAGGTAGAGAAGAAGGAGTGTGGATACGATGAAAGGGGAAATGGGCGAGCAACACCAAAAGTCATGTGTATGTATTTATTCCATTTTGTTAAAAGTATCTTGTATGTGAGTGTGGAGGGAATGTATGTTAACATCTGATAAGTATTACGGTATATGTATGGGGGAGAGTTTCGAAAAATAAAAATTATTAATAAAAAAAAAAGGAATAGAAGCAAAGAGTGTTGCCTAAGTGACACCACAAGACTTACGTTGTTCTTCGTATGTGGACAGAGGTTGGTGGGCTCCACTGGGCAGACTGTTGGTGCTGGATCACAAGCATTCACAACTATCGTTGGAAGGGTTGAAAGCTGTGGATTATATGCTGCTGGATACTTGACAAGGGTTTGGCCAGAAACCCTCCAACTTAAGAAGCAAACACAGCAATTCTCATTTTCATCTTTATTTTTTCTATGTTTTATTGATTTTAGTGTAATTTTGTCACTGTGAGCCTCCCAGAGCTGTTGAGAGACAGGCAGCATGCAAGTTTAATACTTTCTCATTGTTATTATCAGTAGGGTTGATTGCACCATTAGCCAGATGTTTAGAGTGGAGTTGACATTTTTATCCACCCATCAAGTTTTTTTTCCCCCCTAGGTTGTCATTGTTATTATTATGGTTGGTTGCACAGCTAGCCAGATTATTACCCATAACATTTGACTTTGGCAAAGAAGGAAAAAGGAAAGGAGAGGAAAGGAGGAAGGAGAAAAGAGAAAGGAAAGGAAAAAGTCATTCATTTTGTTAACTCTTGTTTTCTCCAGTTTTAGGAATGTCTCAGGAGTGTACCATTTGTCAGTCGAGTGGAAAGAACTGCCAGGGGGATAAGGAAACTTGCTCTGCTCCAAAAGACAAATGTAGCGTCACTTTGTTGGAAAAGACTGTCGGTATGTACAAAATATCTAAATTCATTGTACTGCCAATCAATATTATTCTGAACAAGCTCTTCTACAGACTGGGTTAATTTTATTCTGCAGGCTAAACGATATATACCAAATCAATATCCTCTGGTTTCATTGGGCTTCACAGTTCTGAGAAAGAAAAGATTTGTGTGTGTGTGTCTGTGTGTTTGTGTTTGTGCGTGTATATATGTGTGTGCCTGTCAATTAGTATCCTAAACAGCTCTTTGCTGAGATGGATAGAAACAGTGAAGACCATGCAAATGTACTTCAAACACTTACAGGCTTTTCTAGATTCGTGTTATTCTTTTGCCTGGAAGTGTGTCTGTGTCTTTGTGTCTTTCTGTGTGAGAGAGACCTGCCTCTCACTGGTCATCCCACAGCATCATGGTGATAGTCTCCACCACAACTGACAATTTCCTAGATTGGCTAATCACAGCTGGAGAGTAAGGAAAGGAAAAACAGAGAGATGACTCATTTGTTTACGGTTTTAACTTATTTATTATCCCATTTTTATTGCCTTTATAAATAACTCAAGGCAATGAACTTATTTTTTTTCCCAGTGCTGCCATCGTAACTTCAAATGGTCCCTAACCAAATAATTGTAAGTCAAGGATTACCTCCACTGTCAGTTCTAGAACAGGAATAAAAGGACTCATGAGAAGAATTAACCAGTGGAACAGCTTGCCTCCAGAAGCTGTGGGTGCTTCATCACTGGAGGTTTTTATTGGGCAGCCACTTGTCTCAAATTGTAGAGGGTCTCCTGCTTGAACAAGGGGTTGGACTAGAAGACCTCCAAAGTCCCTTCCAGCTCTATTCTGATTCATGTTCACACTTATCTGGAGGCTAGCAGATGATGGAATGGTGGGGCACAAATCCTGGGAAACTGGAGAAGGACTGGGGATGCTGAAGGCTCATGCTCAAGAGGTTTTATCTACCACTCACAGAGACACTGAGCAATTCATTGTTTCAGACACCAACTCTTCTTTTGGATCCCTACAGGACCTACCACACATGCCATCAAGAAGAGCTGCATCCATCCACAGGAGTGTAACCAGGGCTTGGCTGTTCTAGACATGGGCAACAAGCAAATCATCCAGGGCCACGTTTCCTGCTGCGAGGACAATCAATGCACCAATCATTCCAGTAGTATACATTGGGGCTCTCTCATTTTCTCTGATTCTTTCCTATTATTTCCCTTTCCCATTTTCTCCGCCCAAAGATAAATCTCCTGCATGTATCCTGGGCTCCATTTCAGTGAGATGTAGAGTAACATGATGGTCACAGGCAAGTCCACCATCTAGGATAGAGGCATTAGAAATTCTTCAAAGTCCCAGGCTGAGCATCCTCCTTCATTTAATACTGACTCTCATTCAATCAAAGTAAAAGTTCAGTATTCAGTATCCATTCAGTAAAAGGGACTTGACTTTATTCAGTGGAGTGTGTTAAAAGCCTTGAGTAGGCATGGGGTTATTTTAATCCATGCTAGCATAGTAGCGAGCCATGGTGGCGAAGTGGTGAGAATGCAGTATTGCAGGCAAACTCTGCCCAGAGTCTGGAGTTCGATCCTGACGAATCTCAAGGTGGACTCAGCCTTCCACGCTTCTGAGGTTGGTAAAATGAGGACCCAGATTGTTGGGGGCAAGAGGCTGACTCTGTAAACCGCTCACAGATATTGTCAATGCTGTAACATTGTTCCCAACAATCTGGTTCTTCATTTTCATAATGAAATGTCTGCAAGAAAGCCATCAAGCTCAGAGAGTACCAAGGACCCCACTGGTTCAACCCTGAGTTACAGAGGTTCCTTTCTATTGGAACTGAGAAAGTTGCTAAGGAAGGAAGGTACTGGCTTCTGAATTTCCCACCCTTACTCTGAGGTCACCCCAACCTCCTTTATTATTCTTTTAGCTTAAACTTCCTCCTTCTTTTCTGCAGTGCCTGCCAGAAAAATTGTAACTACCAACAACAAAAGATGCCCGGCTTGCTCTACCGAGCCAAAGGAACAGAGTGGATGCCAGGAGAAGTTGATTAACTGTACTGGAGAGGACGAGATGTATTGTGCAGAAGTGTTTCTTCAGAAGAAAGAAGGTAAAACCTCTAGATTCATGCCCATATTCAGTATTTGAAGCTGCCAATGAGGAAACACAATTCTTGAATGGAAATTGCCACATCCTGAAAGACCAGATCAGGTTGGTAAAATGAGGAGCCAGATTGCTAGGGGCAATATGCTGACTGTGTAAACTCCTTAGAGAGGGCTGTAAAGCACTATGAAGCAGTATATAAGCCTAAGTGCTATTGCTAAGTGATATTTTGGAGATCTACCGTGAGGTAGAAGATACGTTTTGGGGTCTTAACTTCTTTTGAGGCCAATGGAAATTTCCAGTGGCTGCTTCCACTTTAATCATGGAGGCGCTGTCCATGGTATTGAACACAAACCAGTACTACAATACTACAGTATTATCAATGTTTCTGTTGAGTTTGGAATGGCCTCTGTGCGTTGGCTGGGCTCACTCAACATGCTTAACCTAATTATCAAACCAACACATTTTCTGGTTTTGCACAATCCATTCAATCATAAGCTAACCAAACCGTGTGGATGCAAATATGCTAAGTCACCAAAACCCTAACCCAGTCCAAACAAAATCTCCTAAACAATTCAGCCATAACCATACCTGGCCTATAATTGACAAGTAATCCTTGACTTACAATTGGTCGCTTAGATGACCATGAAAGGTTATGATGGATCACAGAGCTACTTATGACTCAATTTCAAAGTTCTGATGGGTTCCCTTCTGCGGTCACGCGGTCACATCTCAGCAATTGCCCTGCATTTGTGGCCATTTGCAGCATCCTGCAGTCATGTGACTGCAATTTGCCAGTTCCCAGGATTAACTTTCAGTAGAAAATGTCCATTGGGTATAGTGGGTTTATTTAACAACTGCACCATTCATTTAATGACTGCCACGAAAAGGTCGTCAAATTGGGCGTAGTCACATCGTGACCCACTTAACAACCAATATGACTTACTGCCTCAATTCTGGGCTCAATATGATCGTAAGTCAAGGATTACTTGTACCTGCTAATCTTTACCTGAAGTCTATTATGTCAACCTTCATTTGGTGAATACAGTTTAATTGCCCTCTTTCTGTGAGCATGTATGCCGAAAGCAGAAGGAAATTTCCTCTGGGTCCTAGCTTCTCTCTTTCTCTCTCCCACATTGCTCCAAATCAGCTAGGTCCCAGGTGCTGACAGCTGTTTCCTCTCATTCTCTTTGCAGGAGGAAAAAATATGACTGTCACCATGAAGGGATGCGCCAATAAGGCTTTCTGTGAGAAGATGGAGATTTCAGCTGTTGCTAGTGCATTTACTTTACTTCCCAACAGCAACTGTAAGAATGCCACTGGGGCAGTTGACACCACAGTTGGATCATTTGGACTCTTCCTCTCGGCCCAGGCTGGGCTGTTGTTGGTGACCATCTTTTCTTGATATGTTTCCAACATTAAAACTCAGATCCTGCTTGTGAATTCTTCCCTCTCTCCATTGCTTATGCCTCTTAGGCCTCACTTTTTGGGAAAATACAGAGCTTTCCTTTTTCTTGAAATATATACATTTCAAGAGAGCAGCTAAAGTTTTTCCTAATACTGTTCCTCCTCTTGCTAGCTCTGTTACCAGTTGACTTTGAACAAGTGAGCTGTGAAAGTTGCACAGAGAAGAAGCAGGATCTATTTGCTTTGCCCTCCTGTCCAGCAGAGATGAAAATGGACACTAAGGGAGTCAAGGAAATGGGAGCAAGAAGAATGAAAAAAAAAGAGGTGGTCAGCCAGCATCAGTAGGGCTTCTGAAAGTTAAGGGGTGCTGCTAGTTAGTGGACACTGAAAAGAGTTTGCTGCGGCAGCATCAATGCCACACTTCATGGAAGCCATTGTATGTCCTTCACTAGCATCCATGGTGTGAGATAAAAATAGTCAAAATGGTGATCATGGTGGTGATGAACCATATACAGTATGAAGGACCAGAACTTTGATCATGCTGCTTTCATGTAATCTTCTGCCTGTGGACCCTGCGGTTGGGTACATATTGGTGGAGTTCAAAGTGGGCAGCTTGTGGACTAAGATCGATGTGACTCAAAGCCCATTTGTATGTGTTTTTTTTTTAAATTTCCAATCATTTATGAATCACCCTAATCTGACCACCTCTAGATTATATGTAAAAACAAGTCTTTAAAAGGGAATGTATCAACCAATTAAAATAATAACATCACACTAAATTTATCAGTGAAGTTAATGTGCCCCTCAAACAACATAGACCCTGTAGGCCTAATAAAACAGGGTAGTTTTAATAGCCTTTCTGAATGAGAAGAGAAAGGGACAATCATACTTCTGGAAATATGTTCCATGTGGGACGCACCGTACAAATCAGAAGACCTGGTTCTTAAATTTTTGAGCAAGATCTTTCCTCCCTCTGATGTTTTCAGACATGGAAGTGAAAAGTTCTCCAGAGAATCTTGGGACTCCCTTCATGTAATATGCCTATAGACCAGTGTTTTGCAAACTTGACAATTTTAAGGCATGTGGACTTCAACTCCCAGAATTCCACAGCCAGCGTTGCTGGCTGTGGAATTCTGGGAGTTGAAGTCCTCATGCCTTAAAATTGTCAAGTTTGGGAAACACTGCTATAGACCAAGGGTGTCCAACCTTGGAAACCTTAAGACTTGTGGACTTCAACTCCTAGAATTCCTCAGCCAGACGTTGGAAATTCTGGGAGTTGAAGTCCACAAGTCTTAAGGTTTCCAAGGTTGGACACCTCTGCTATAGGGTATGTTGGGTATGTCTATTTTCTGCCATCCATCAGCAAATAACACTGTTCCCTCATGCTGGGTCTTCCAACGGCAGTTGCCAAATTGTTCTCCTCCATTGCAGGTCTTATTCAAATCAGTTTTTGCAAAATGTGGCTCACACCTGGGGGAAAGACTCCTTTCATTTTACTGTATAGTAATGCAATCCTCTTCATTTCAGCTCTTTGTATAGCCCATGAGATGCATGACTCATCTTTTTTCTGCTTGGTATCTTCTTGGCTGGAGTTGACGAGTATTACAATGTGGAGGGTCCAGACTCAGAAGGATGAACATAGACCGTTTTCTGTAAACTTTGAAGGCTGAACATTATAAATAAACATCAGGTTGTATTCACTCCTGAGTTTTATCCCATGGTGATGTCACTTCTACTAATAATAATAGTAGTAAAGTTGGAAGGGACCTTGGAGGTCATCTAGTCCAACCCCCTGCTCAGGCAGGAAACCCTACACCATTTTGGACAAATGGCTATCCAGTCTCTTCTTAAAAACTTCCAGTGTTGGAGCATTTACTGCTTCTGGAGGCAGGCTGTTCCACTGATTAATTGTTCTCACTGTCAGGAAGTTTCTCCTTAGTTCTAGGTTGCTTCTCTCCTTGATTAGTTTCCACCCGTTGCTTCTTGTCCTGCCTTCAGGTGCTTTGGAAATAGCTTGATTCCCTCTTCTTTATGGCAGCCCCTGAGATATTGGAATACTGCTATCATGTCCCCCCTTGTCCTTCTCTTCGTTAAACTAGACATACCCAATTCTAGCAACTGTTCCTTATATGTTTTAGCTTCCAGTCCCCTAATCATCTTTGTTGCTCTTCTCTGTACTCTTTCTAGAGTCTCAACATCTTTTTTACATCATGATGACCAAAACTGGATGCAGTATTCCAAGTGTGGCCTTACCAAGGCATTGTAGAGTGGTATTAATACTCTACAATGGAGTATTGTATCCACAGAATCTGGAGATTCTGTGGATTTCCAGATCTTACAGATCTCCTTTATCACTGGCTGATGCTTATATGTTTTAGAAACTGAAGTGCAGCACCATCTAGAATATCCTGAGGTATTTCCTCCTTCGCTAGTAGGTAGGATATCCTTTGTGACAAGGCAACATGCCTACCACTTGAGTATCTCTCCCTTACCTACTACAAACCTGCATTCTACATTCTGTATTTTCTGGAAGATCTTCCAAGTTCTTTCTGAGCTGATGTTACGGATTGCAATGTCCTCAAGGACTTGGTTAGGAAAAAGAAGTGACTACTTTCATGGGCTACAGCACCTATTACTTCAATCATTCCTTGTCTACGTGCTCTTCGGATATATTGGGGTTTCACAATCCAGAGTTCCTTGAGCTTTTTCTGGAACCACATTATTGGAAGAATTAGGGGATCATGTTTCCCTAGCAGGTGGGTCTAGGTAGGACAACTTGCCGGATCCAGCTTGCCACCGCCAACTCACCTCTGCCAATTCATTGTTGCCAAGTCACTGCAGGACAAATCCACATGGCCAACTGCAGGTGGCCAAAGGGAGAGCCAGGCAGGTGGGCGAGCGAGCAGGTGGGCAGAAACAGAGTATATTGGGGCGGGTGGTGGGGAGGAAGCAGCAGCTGGGGACTTCCCATTTTCATGCCCCATATTGCCACCACTGCACCAGGCTTGGATTTGATGCAGCCACTGCTGCCACGGCACCAAGCACAAAGCCGCTGCTGCTACAGATACTGCCACCATGCCAGATTTGGAGCTGCTGCTAATGTTGCTGCTGTGCTGGGCATGGAGCTGTTGCATGGGGCGGTGATGGCATCGGTGGCAGCTCCCCCAGCACAGTGACAGTAGCATCGGTGACAGCTCCACACCAAGTCACATGGCTGCATCAACTCCACACCTGGCATGGTGGTGGCATCAATAGCAGCAGCTCCATGCCCAGCACAGCAGTGTCATCGGTGGCAGCTCCCTCCCCAGTGTGGTGGCAGCTCCTACAAAATGCAATCATATTTGGAAGGGTATTGGAACTCATAAGTAGCCCTGGGAAGGTCCATCATAACTTCAAATGGTTGCTAAGCAACCAGTCAGAAGTCAAGAACTCCTTACAATGGCTTAATCAAATATGCAGTTGCCAACATTGAGGAACACTGCTCTAGAATGTCCAGAATATTATTTTTACCTTTGCAAGCCCAGAGTCTAGAACCCTGTGAGGAACACTGCTCTAGAAAGTCCAGAATATTATTTTTACCTTCACAAGCCCAGAGTCTAGAACCCTGTGTTCACTTTTTTTTCTTAATGGAACTTTGGGAAAGTTCTACCCATCCATTATTCTATTCCTTTGCTGTCTGGTGGATACATCGTCTTGGCTATTATCCAGGGCTTAAAAGCCATGAGAAAAGAAGAAAGGCGACAACAGCACTTAAAATATTAAAAAGGTAAGAATAAGAACTAAAACTGGAGGCTAAAGCATATAAGGAACGGTTGCTAGAATTGGGTATGTCTAGTTTAACGAAGAGAAGGACAAGGGGGAACATGATAGCAGTCTTCCAATACCTCAGGGGCTGCCCCAAAGAGGAAGTCAAGCTATTCTCCAAAGCGCCAGAAGGCAGGACAAGAAGCAACGGGTGGAAACTAACCAAAGAGAGAACCAACCTAGAACTAAGAAGAAATTTCCTGACAGTTAGAACAATTAATCAGTGGAACAACCTGCCTCCAGAAGCGGTGAATGCTCCATCACTGGAAGTTTTTAAGAAGAGACTGGACAGCCATTTGTCCAAAATGGTATAAGGTTTCCTGCCTGAGCAGGGGGTTGGACTAGATGACCTCCAAGGTCCCTTCCAACTTTACTATTATTATTATTATTATGATGATGATGATGATGTCTAGCATTAATCAGACGAAGAGAGGGGGAAGGTAGAAAAACCACTGGGATCCTCCTACAACCGCCATCCTAGGAAAGAACAGAATAAAAAATATAAATCAACCGTACTATAGGAAATGTGTATAGCATGGGTGATGGCAGTGTTTTTCAACCATAGAAACGTGGAGAGGTCTGGACTTCAGAAGCTCTCTTGACTGGAGAATTCTGGGAGTTGAAGTCCACCCCTCTTCCAGGTGCTGAGGATGAAAAACACTGGATGACTGAGGACAGAGGAAACAGAGAATGGGCCTGGGAAAGGGGTTGTAATACTTACAAGGCCGCATGACAAATTTAGAGCCGGCTTGAGATCAACAGGAGAGAGAAAGCCAAAAGCGGCATTTTCAAAAAGGCCGACAATGGGAAAACTATCCAAGCAGCTACCATAACTTGGAAAGATTCTGGAGGATGCAATTTCCAAACCTGGAAGTCTTAGGAGCATTGGTGAAAACTGGAAGGTATTTTTTTTCCCATCTGAAAAATAAAGGAACGGGTTTACAAAACAGAACAGAATAACAAGAGTTGGAAGGGACTTTGGAGGTCTTCTAGTCCAACCCCTTGAGAACAAGAAGAAGAAGAAGAAGAAGAAGAAGAAGAAGAAGAAGAAGAAGAAGAAGAAGAAGAAGAAGGGGGAGGAGGAGGAGGAAGAGGAAGAGGAGGAGGAGAAAAAGAAGAAGAAGAGAAGAAGAAGAAGAAGAAGAAGAAGAAGAAGAAGAAGAAGAAGAAGAAGAAGAAGAAGAAGAAGAAGAAGAAGAAGAAGGGGGAGGAGGAGGAGGAAGAGGACGAGGAGGAGGAGGAGGAGAAAAAGAAGAAGAGGAAGAAGAAGAAGAAGAAGAGGAAGAAGAAGATGTTGGAAGATACCTTGGAGGTCATCTAGTCCAACCCCCTGCTTAGGCAGGAAATCCTACACCTTTTCAGACAAATGATTGTCCAATCTCTTCTTAAAAACTTCCAGTGTTGGAGCACCCACAACTTCCAAAGGCAAATCTTTCCACTGGTTAATTTGTTCTCACTGCTAGGACATTTCTCCTTAGTTCTAGGTTGGTTATCTCCTGAATTAGTTTGCACCCATTCTCCTGCCTGCAGGTGTTTTGGACAATTGGTTGACCCTCCTCTTCACTGTGGCAGCCCCCTCCAGTATTGGGTTGATGATCCCAATCCTGTTTTCAAAGCTGGATGCATTTATAAGGTGACCAACCGTCCTCATTTAGGGAGGACAGTCCTCCTTTTATAAGTTCTGTCCTCCCTCAAAAAGTGTCCTCCTACATGTCCTCCTTTTTGATATTTGAAGACTAATCTGCAGGGCTTTTTTTTTTCCTCATAGAATGCTCAGAACGGCGTTCAGGCACCTTTTTTTGATGGTTTTTTTCCAACTTTTGCATGAACTGTGCTACTCCCACTATTGGCTTTCGAAAGCCAATAGGAATTGCTGCTGAGCGCGCCAAAACACCTGGCCGGCAAACTTTGCACATGCAAGTTGTCTGTATTATTGTTGCAATGAATAAAATGTTTCTTTTATTTACGATATTTTTTTCTTCAATTTATTTGTGTTCTCCTTTTCACTGCAAAAAAGTTCGTCACTTTAGTTCCTACTACAGCTTTTGGCACTTTCCACAAGCAAGTCCAACCCTCCCTATGCTTCCATTTTTGCATGAAGGAGAGTCCATTTCATGCTTCCTATAACTTTGAAGCATGGATTATGTAGTTCTGAGGATGAGCTTAGAGCTGTTGGGCCAAGGATGTCCTATTCTATAGTGGGCACATTTTGAGAAGATTGGCAAACCAATTGCATTTTCAGGTGAGCAATTGCTTTAAGTGGCTTGATCTAGAGATGCGTTAAGCAGTAGCATTTTCTGACAGATAGACATGAAACAGCAAAAAAAAATTGATGGAAGTCATCAAAATCAATGAAAAAAAAGAGGCGTTAGCATCTTCCTCATTTTGTTGTTCTTTTTAACTAAAATCAAGTGTTTCCTCTCCCTTCCCATCCAATATGCTATTTTGAAATTCTGCAGGATTGGCAGATCTGCTGTTTTGTCTTTTCATCGGCAGAATTAAAGCAAGGCTTAAGAGGCTCCTGCAGCACTTAAAATGATTAAGAATATTTATGGGTAACATAATGTTTCCTGCCCTTGCCGGTCCTGTTCTATAATTCCCATTTGTGCCAAGCAGAAAAAAAATCCGATCCTTTTATATAGGTGATCCTCAACTTACGACCACAACTGAGACCAACATTTCTGTTGCTAAGCGAGACGCTTATTGAGTGAGTTTTGCTCCGTTTTACGACCTTTCTTGCCACAGTTGTAAAGTGAATCACTGCAGGTGTTGGGTTAGTAGCACGGTTGTTAAGTGAATCTGGCTTCCCCATTGACTTGGCTTATCAGAAGGTCACAAAAGGGGATCACGTGACCCCGGGACACTGCGACCGTCATAAATGTGAGTCAGTTGTCAAGCATCCAGATGTAAATCACGTGACCACGGGGATGCTACAATGTGACTGAAGTGAATGGTAAGTAACTGAAAGAGAATTTCTAATACTCCTTCCTTCTCCTGTTTTTCCCCCAACAACAACCTTGTGAGGTGGGCTGAGAGGGAGTGACTGGCCCAAAGTCACCCGGCTGGCTTTCAGGTTAAGGCAGGACTAGAACTCAGAGTCTCCTGGTGATTGGCCCAAAGATTTCATGCCTAAAGTGGGAAGACAACTCAGTGTCTTGGCCTGCCTGGGTCTGGGTCTGGCCCTGCTAGCACTGATTAACAGTAAAAGGGTTTCTGAAGCAAAAATCTCAGATCATAGGATTTGCTCACCGAGGACCAGTCACTTGGAGTCAGAATTTGCTTGAATAGGCCTCTCCAGAGCATCCAGTCTCTTGACACAGCAACCTGTCACTGCATCGTTGTTTGTTTTTGAAAAGATATTTTAAGAAAAGCTTTAGATCAGAGAATTTGAAATTTCAAGAGAACAAGCAATGGTTTGGTATGATGTAGGATTTTTATTATTTCTGAAGTGTAGAATCCTGTATTCCACGAAACTCTACCATAGTTCGTTTGGACTCATCTATGTGACAAATGAAGTAAACCCTAGTTGACAAAACTGTGTTTAGAGTCACCTTTTGTTCTTAATGAATATCTTGTGAAGAGTGGGTTCTGAATTATCCACAGAAAGAATGCTTATAGAGCCAATTCCTTTGAGGGAATTGAAATTTGCACAATCATCATTTCTTATTGCGGTGGAAAAAAACCCTTGCTATAGTCTCTTTCACTTCCTCATATGATCCAGGAGGCCTGCCAAAATCCATTTCTCCATTGCTAACAGTAATTGAATACAGTTTTATCTGTATTTTGTAAGACTAACATCAGCTTGGTTTTTTGTCTATTTTAAAAATCCCTTTTTCCCCAAAATCCTTTATAGATGTAGATATAGATACAGACACAGATACAGAGACAGAGATAGAGATAGAGAGATAGAGAGATAGAGAGATAGAGATAGAGATATAGATATATAGATATAGATAGATAGAGATAGAGATAGAAATAGACATAGACATAGGCACAGGCAGAAACAGAGATAGAGATAGAGACAGAGATATAAATAGAATAGAATAGAAAATTGAATAGAATAGAATAGAATAGAATAGAATAGAATAGAATAGAAAAGAAAATGGAATGGAATGGAATGGAACGGAACGGAACGGAACAGAACAGAACAGAACAGAACAGAACGGAATGGAATAGAATAGAAAATGGAATGGAATGGAATGCAATAGAATAGAATAATCTGGTTATTTTATCCAGTTTGTTGTTAATATTAATATTTTAATTTTAAAGCTTAATGATTTAATATTTCTAACTTAAGCCATCTAGTTTCTTGATAGTGAGATGCAATGGATGGAAACTCATCAAGGAAAGAAGCAACCTGGAACTAAGGAGAAACTTCCTGACAGTGAGAACAATTAACCAGTGGAACAACCTGCCTCCAGAAGTGGTGAATGCTCCAACACTGGAGGTTTTTAAGAAGAGACTGGACAGCCATTTGTCTGAAATGGTATAGGGTTTCCTGCTTGAGCAGGGGGTTGGATTCAATGACCTCCAAGGTCCCTTCCAACTTTATTATTATTATTAGGATGCCACAACGGTCATAAGTATGAAAAGTGGTCCTAAGTCACTTTTCCAGTGATGTTGTAAGTTTGAACAGTCCCTAAGTGAACTGTTGTAAGCCGAGGACTATCTGTACCACACTCAACAATCATGGCTCTCCCCTGCCAATGTATTTTCAAGTGGGAGCTGTGATCCTTGAAAACCTCAGCTCAAGAGTCTTTGTTAGGGTTTAAGGAACTGCCAATCACTTGCTTGGATTTTACGGCAAGAGAAAGAACGCAGCCATGCCAGCTTTGCTCTGAAAATGGGGAGGATTGATGTCCCGGCTGCACACATTTTAAGTTACGATGACGCAGTTTAAATTTTCAGCAGCAGTTCAACCGCGCTTAATAAAAGCAGTCTGTTTTTTTCTTCTGGAGGAGAGAATTGGAAACTTTTCATTGGCACGGAGCAAAATATGTAAAAAATGGCGATTTTTAATATTTTATTGGCTTCGTCCACAAGTAAGTTTGTTTTTCAAATAACCTGACATTTGGACAGCAAAACAGGAAAGAAATAGATGTAGTTTCCTGTAAAGGATTCCTATTGTTCTCTCTTTTTTTCTTTTTTTTTGCCTCCTTCCAGAAAACCACTTTTATTTCTTAAACCCGCCTCCTTTTTCAGGAAGTGATGGTTTTGGACAGTTATTAAAAATGCTTCCTCGGCTTTGGGCAAAGTAAGAGAATTACCTATATTCAGGATCTCCAGGTCCACTTTGAACAAAGCACCAGTCAGCCGTCATGGAGACTTCACTGCCCGTCTTCCTTCTTGCCCTATTGGTTATTAGAGGTAAGTAGGCAAGAATGATAAATATTTTAAGTGAATGGCTCCCATACTTTCACTGCTTCTGCAAATTCGTAGCATGTTTTTCCAAGAAAATTTGTGGCACGCACAAGAAGGAGAAAGAAAGAAAGAAAGGAAGGAAGGAAGAAAGAAAGAAAAAAGAAAGAAAGAAAGAAAGAAAGAAAGAAAGAAAGAAAGAAAGAAAGAAAGAAAGAAAGAAAGAAAGAAAGAAAACTCTATTTGGCATATTGAAAGGGAAGTCTTTTTTGGCCAGTGTTTTTCAAACTTAGGAAGTTTTAAATTGTGAAGACTTCAACTACCAGAATGCCCTAAAGCAGACCTTTGTGAGATTCTGCACAGGATCAGTAGATGGTAATACCATCTGCTACTGGATCAGAATATGGCTGCAAACTGCTTCAAAATATAAATCGGGTGATCTGATCTAGCTTTTATAATCCCACATTGGTAAATGGATGGCAATCTCTGGATGCAAAGAACTGAATCTCTGTTAAATATTAAAGCCTTAAAATTAAATCTTAATATTAAAATTAAAAATTAAAACCTTTTCCTGGATTTTCGGGATGCAACAGTTGAAAATTTGAACATGATCAAAATTTAGCAAGAATACTTGGCCAGCTACTACAGAGTTTGGCAAGATATTTATTCTCGCTCTCTTCCTCTCTTTCTCTCTGTCTCTGTCTCTTTCACACACACACATACACACACATACACACACACACACACACACTCAAATGTATGTACATACGTACAGAGGGAGGGAGGAATTTGAAGCTAGCCAAAAAATGCAAGAAGAAACCTTTTCCTTCTTTCTCTATTTGAGTCTTCTTAACCACTGCTGCAAACTCATTCTTTTTGGTTTAGCTTTTTTTGTAACTTTAATTTCTTTTTATATTTATAATTGTTTGGATATTTGGATATTTTATCTCCCAGTAAGTCAGTCAGAGTCATCTCAAACAATAAGATGGGCAGCAAATTGTTGCTGTTGTTGTTGTTATTGTTGTTGTTATTATTATTATTATTATTATTATTATTATTATTATTATTGATCATTGCACAGTCAGCCAGATGTTCAGACTGGATTTGGCATTTTGTCTACCTATCGAGTCCTTACCCAGGACCTGGGATAGGCAGATATGGATGTTGGATGGTATTACAGATCTTGTCACAGGATGGAAGCAGTTCCCAGTAAGGCCGCCTTTTGCAATTGACTAATAGCGAATTTGTCAATGCCAATGGTGTTCAAGTGGTGCTCCAGTTGTTTTGGGATTGCACCCAAGGAGCCTATTACTATTGGTACTACCCTTGCTTGCTTTTGCCACAGTCTTTCTATTTCTATTTGTAGGTCTTTGTATTTTGTTATCTTCTCCAGTTCTTTCTCTTCTATTCTGCTATCTCCAGGCACTGCCACATCCACTATCCAGACTTTTTTGTCTTTCTTATCGACAATTGTTAAGTCTGGGGTGTTATGTTGCAGGTGCTTGTCTGTTTGAATTCTGAAGTCCCAGAGCAGTTTAATTTTATCATTTTCTATGACTTTCTCTATTTTATGATCCCACCAGTTCTTGCTTACAGGCAAATGATATTTCTATTATTATTATTATTATTATTATTATTATTATTATTATTATTATTATTATTATTATTATTATTATTGATCATCGCACAGTCAGCCAGATGTTCAGACTGGATTTGGCATTTTGTCTACCTATCAAGTCCTTACCAAGGACCTGGGATAGGCAGATGTGGATGTTTGATAGTATTACAGATCTTGTCGCAGGATGGAAGCAGTTCCTAGTAAGGCCACCTTTTGTAATTGACTAATAGCAAATTTGTCAATGCCAACGGTGTTCAAGTGGTGCTCCTGTTGTTTTGGGATTGCACCCAAGACACCTATTATTATTGGTACTACCCTTGCTTGCTTTTGCCACCGTCTTTCTATTTCTATTTATAGGTCTTTGTATTTTGTTATCTTCTCCAGTTCTTTCTCGTCTATTCTGCTGTCTCCAGGCACTGCCATGTCCACTATCCAGACTTTTTTGTCTTTCTTATTGACAATTGTTAAGTCTGGGGTGTATTATTATTATTATTATTATTACCGCAGTCAATTTGAATATCTGGCTGACTGTGTAATGAACCATGATAATATTAGGTAATGCCAGTACTAGTAGATCCCTTGGGTGCAATCCAAAAACATCTGGAGCACCACTGGCATTGATAAAATCCCCATCAATCAATAGCAAAAGGCAGCTTTACTGGTAACAGCTTGCATCCTGTGTTGATACCTTTAATGCCATCAAACAACAACCTCTCCTGTCCCAGGTCATTGGGAAGGACTTGATAGGTGGATAAAAATGGCAAATCCAGTCTGAACATTTGGCTGACTGTTCTTTGAACCATAATAATCATAATCATAATCATAATCATAATCAATGAACCATCTGTAACAGTTTGATTTCACATATGGTTTTATTTGCATCCTGGACATGTTTGGAAGTCCAGGCCAGGGGTAGGCAACCTTGGCTCTTTTATGACTCTTGGACTTCAATTCCCAGAATAAAAGCTGACTCAGGAATTCTGGGAGTTGAAGTCCATGAGTCATAAAAGAGCCAAGGTTGCCTACCCCTGGGCTAGGCTATGTTGTACCTTTGGTGACACAGTGGTTAGAATGCAGGCAAACTCTGCCCACAGCCTGGAGTTTGATCCTGATGGGGCTCAAGGTTGACTCAGCCTTCCATCCTTCTGAGGTTGGTAAAATGAGGACCCAGATTGTTGGGGCAAGAGGCTGACTCTGTAAATCGCTTAGAGAGGGCTGTGAAGCACTGTGAAGCAAGATATAAGTCTAAGAACTATTGCTATTTCTCTTTCCTTCCTTCCTTCCTTCCTTCCTTCCTTCCTTCCTTCCTTCCTTCCTTCCTTCCTTCCTTCCTTCCTTCCTACCTACCTACCTTTCTTTCACAGTGCTTAGCATGCAGCATTGCAGGCTAATTCTGCAAACTGCCAGCAGTTCGATTCTGACTGGCCCAAGGTTGAGTCGGTCTTCCATCCTTCCGAGGTCAGTCAAATGAGGACCCAGATTGTTGGGGGCAAGAGGCTGACTCTGTAAACTGCTTAGAGAGGGGCTGTAAAGCACCGTGAAGTGGGATATAAGTCTAAGAGCTATTGCTATTTCTCTTTCCTTCTTTCCTTTCCTGCCTTCCTTCCTTCCTTCCTTCCTTCCTTCCTTCCTTCCTTCCTTCCTTCCTTCCTTCCTTCCCTTCCTTCCTTCCTTCTTTCCTTCCTCCCTCCCTCCCTCCCTCCCTCCCTTCCTCGCTCTTTCCTTCGCAGTGCTTAGAATGCAGCATTGCAGGCTAATTCTGCAAACTGCCAGCAGTTCGATCCTGAAGGACCCAAGGTTGAGTCGGCCTTCCACCCTTCCGAGGATCCAGATTGTTGGGGGCAAGAGGCTGACTCTGTCAACCGCTTAGAGAGGGCTGTGAAGCAGCATGGAGAAATATGTAACTAAGCACTATTGCTATATTTTAGTGCACCACTTCCTTAAACTAGCTTCACAGACCTAGCCTGTTGTTAAGGAATCTGGAAGCTGTACATCTGGAAGGTGCCATGGTTGAGAAAAAGCTTCTAATCCAGTGGTTCTCAACCTGTGGGTTGGGACCCCATTTGGGGTCGAATGACCATTTCACGGGGGTCGCCAAACAATGCAGTCCGCCATTTTTTCCCCCTTTTCCTTAACTGTGCTACTCCCTTTTATTCTCTCTTGAACAGAGTCTAATTCTATTGGCTTTCAAAAGCCAATAGGAATTGTCCAGGCTGTCTCTGCCCTGCTGAGCCCACCAAAAAATCCCATTCTGCAAACGGTGCTGCACCAGTTGAGTAGTCCTCCACTTACGACCGGTTGAGTAGTCCTTGACTTAAGACTGGTTGGGGGTTGCGGCATTAAAAAGGTTGAGAACTACTGTTCTAATCCCTTCCACATGGACTGTCAAATATTATTTTTTCCTTCTTACCATCTCAGTTGATTATGAGTGAAATCTTGTTGTGACCTTGGTCTTAAACTGGGCAAAAGAAAGGATCCAGAAGTAAATTTGTTGTCCTTTTTTCTTGTTGATACTACAGGATTGTCCCTGGAATGTGAAGAATGCATAGGAATAGATGATTGTTCTGGGGATAAGTTGCCATGTGGTTTGGGGAAAGACAAATGCAGTGTTACTAATATGGCTCTCCCAATAGGTAAGTACAACAAGATGTGTTAATTTTATTTATTTATTATTTTGCCTTTATTACTTTAAAAATAACTTGGGGCAGCGAAAAATACCTAATATTCTTTCTGACTCCTATTTCTTCACAAAAACCACACTGTGAAGTGGGTTGGGCTGGGACAGAATGATTGGCCCAAAGTCACCCAGCCAGCTTTCATGGCTAAGGCAGGACTAGAACTCACCATTTCCTGGTGATTGGCCGAAAGTCACCCAGTCAGCTTTGATGGCTAAAGCAGGATTAGAACTCATTTTCTCCTGGAGATTGTCCCAAAGTCACCCAGCTGGCTTTCATGGCTAAAGTGGGATTAGAATTCATGGCCTCCCAGCTAAGGCGTGGCACCTTCACCCCTAACTCATCTGTAGTATACATCAAAAATGAGGATCCCAAGAAATCAAACAGGTTCCTGGCAAACCTAGCAGACAACTTTGTCTCCCAAAAAGTAGAGAAGGGAACTAGGGGATTAGCCATTTTGGATCTAATTCTCACTAACAGAGATGAAATGATAGACAGTGTTGAAGCCATAGGAACCCTGGGAGGAAGTGATCATGCAATATTAGAATTCAACATTATAGAAGCACAACCAATAGAACACAGTCAAACTAGAGTCTTGGACCTCAAGAGAGCTAATTTCAATAAACTTAGAGAGGGCTTGGGAAGGATTCCATGGATGAGAATCCTCAAGGGGAAAACAACTCAAGAAGCTTGGGAAATTTTGAAAAATGAGATAATAAAAGCACAGTCTAGCACAATACCAACAAAGAGGAAAAATAACAGCTCTCAAAAGAAACCAGCATGGCTGCATAAAGAACTCTCTGACAAATTGAAAGATAAAAAGGACAAGTATAGAAAGTGGAAAGAGGGGAACATAACTAAGTCAGAATATCAGCAAATAGCCCGAGCCTGCAAAGATGAAGTGAAGAAAGCCAAGGCTCAAAATGAACTAAGGCTTGCGACCAAAGTCAAAAATAACAAAAAAAGCTTCTTTCAACATGTAAAAAACAAGAAAAAAGTGAAGGAAATGATTGGTCCATTAGTGGGTGGAAGTGGCAAGAAGGTGACAAGCAACAGGGAGAAAGCAGAACTATTTAACTCATTTTTTGCATCTGTCTTTACACAAAGGGAAAAAACAGACCAACCTATCAAAAATAGTGCCATAAAAAACAAAACAGAAACACAAGTTAAGATAGGCAAGAAAATGGTTAGGGAGCACCTGTCCAGCCTAGATGAGTTCAAATTGCCAGGACCAGATGGATTACACCCCAGAGTTCTCAAGGAACTGGCAGATGTGATATCGGAGCCACTGAACTATATTTTTCAAAGATCCTGGAACACAGGGGAACTACCAGAGGACTGGAAAAGAGCTGATGTAGTTCCCATCCTCAAAAAAGGAAAAAAAATGGATCCAGGAAATTACAGACCTATCAGCCTGACCTCAATACCTGGGAAGATCCTGGAAAAGATAATCAAACAACGAATCAACGAACACCTAGAGGCAAACAAAGTCATTACTAAAAGCCAACATGGGTTTGTCAAAAATAGATCATGCCAGACAAATCTTATTGCATTCTTTGACCAAGTGACAAAATTAGTGGATCAGAGGAATGCTGTGGACATAATTTACTTGGACTTCAGTAAGGCATTTGATAAAGTAGATCACAACCTACTACTTGACAAGATAGAAAAATGTGGGGTAGACAGAACCACCACCAGATGGATCCGTAGCTGGCTGACCGGCCGTACTCAGCGAGTGGTCCTCAATGGAACTGCATCTATATGGAGGGAAGTGTGTAGTGGGGTGCCCCAGGGCTCTGTTCTGGGCCCAGTACTCTTCAACATCTTCATCAACGATTTGGATGAAGGGATAGATGGGGAACTCATCAAATTTGCAGATGACACCAAGCTGGCAGGAATAGCCAACACTCCAGAAGACAGGCTTCAGATACAGAAGGATCTGGACAGACTTGAACACTGGGCACTAACTAACAAAATGAAATTCAATGGTGAAAAAAGCAAGGTTCTACATTTAGGCAAGAAAAACCAAATGCACAAGTACAGCATAGGTGGCACCATGCTCAATAGTAGTAACTGTGAGAGGGACCTCGGAGTCCTAGTAGACAATCACCTAAATATGAGCCAGCAGTGTGCTGCAGCTGCCAAAAAGGCCAACACAGTGCTAGGCTGCATTAACAGAGGGATAGAATCAAGATCACGTGAAGTATTAATACCACTCTTTAATGCCTTGGTAAGGCCACACTTGGAATACTGCATCCAGTTTTGGTCACCACGATGTAAAAAAGATGTTGAGACTCTAGAAAGAGTACAGAGAAGAGCAACAAAGATGATTAGGGGACTGGAGGCTAAAACATATAAGGAACGGTTGCTAGAATTGGGTATGTCTAGTTTAACGAAGAGAAGGACAAGGGGGGACATGATAGCAGTATTCCAATATCTCAGGGGCTGCCATAAAGAAGAGGGAATTAAGCTATTTTCCAAAGCACCTGAAGGCAGGACAAGAAGCAACGGGTGGAAACTAATCAAGGAGAGAAGCAACCTAGAACTAAGGAGAAACTTCCTGACAGTGAGAACAATTAATCAGTGGAACAGCTTGCCTCCAGAAGCAGTAAATGCTCCAACACTGGAAGTTTTTAAGAAGAGACTGGACAGCCATTTGTCCGAAATGGTGTAGGGTTTCCTGCCCGAGCAGGGGGTTGGACTAGATGACCTCCAAGGTCCCTTCCAACTTTACTATTATTATTATTATTATTATAAATAGGCAAGGCCAGGACACATTTTTTCCTTTATCCTGACTGTTACTCACATTACATCAATTAAAGATACTTTTTATTTATTTATTTATTATTATTATTATTATTACTATTGTTATTATTAATAATAATAAAGTTGGACGGGACCTTGGAGGTCATCTAGTCCAACCCCCTGATCAGGTAGTAAACCCTATACCATTTCGGACAAATGGCTGTCCAGTCTCTTCTTAAAAACTTCCAGTGTTGGACCATTCGCCGCTTTTGGAGCCAGGTTGTTCCACTGGTTAATTGTTCTGTCAGGAAGTTTCTCCTTAGTTCTAGGTGGCTTCTCTCCTTGATTAGTTTCCATCCGTTGCTTCTTGTCCTGCCTTCAGGCACTTTGGAGAATAGCTTGACTCCCTCCTTTTTTCCAAGGCCTTCCTCTACTTCAGGGGTCTTCAAACTTGGCAAGTCTAAGACTTGTGGACTTCAACTCCCAGAATTCCTCAGCTAGCTGGCTGGCTGGCTGGCTGAGGAATTCTGGGAGTTGAAGTCCACAAGTCTTAAACTTGCCAAGTTTGAAGACCCCTGTCTACTTACTCACTTTGGATTGAATTCTGAAGGGAGAAATCTCTGGTGGAAGGACTAAGTGCTCCTCACTGGAGGAAACCCCACTGGATTCATCCAACACATTGGTTGGCTTTTGACAATGGGAAAGAATACCAACTAAGTTGCTTCTGACCTCAAATGTGCTTCCCACTGACTCTGCAATGCCTGTCATGGTTTGTTGTGGTGCTAATGCAGTTTCTCTCTTTTCATTTCCCCCAGGACTATCCGTGACTATAAAATCCTGCGTCTCATCCGACGTCTGTGACAAAGGCGTTCAAGTCATTAATCTGGGCCAGAGAAAACATCTTATTGCCCACTTGAGATGCTGTGAAGGAGATGGATGTAGAGACATCCCTCCAAGTATATCAGGTATGTCTTCTCACTCAGATTTCCCTGTCTTGTTCTCCCCTTCGGATGTGTTGAGACAGCAACTCATATCATGACTGGGTAGGAAGGTTGGTGGAAATCTTAAGTGAGAGGCAGACACCTTGCATTCCAGAATAACAGAATAACAGAGTTGGCAGGGACTTTGGAGGTCTTCTAGTCCAACCCCCTGCTCAGGCGGGAAGCCCTATACAATTTCAGACAAATGATTGTCCAATCTCTTCTTAAAAACTTCCAGCGTTTATACATTTACAACTTCTGGAGGCAAATTGTTCCATTGGTTAATTGTTTTAACTGTCAGGAAATTTCTCCTTCGTTCTAGGTTGCTTCTCCCCTTGATTAGTTTCCATTCATTGCTTCTTGTCCTGCCTTCAGGTGCTTTGGAGAATAGCCTGACTCCCTCTTCTTTGAGGCAGCCCCTGAGATACTGGACGACTGCTATCATGTCACCCCTCGTCCTTCTCTTCATTAGACTAGACATACCCAATTCCAGCAACCGTTCCTTATATATTTTAGCCTCCAATCCCCTAATCATCTTTGTTGCCAAGATTGGAGACCCCTGCCCTAAAGTCCTTTTCATTGGGAATATATTTGTTTCTCATCCCATCTGATTGTTCTTTCTTTTCTATAGAATTGCCCAAGAAGGCCACAGAAAATGGGAAGCAGTGCCCAGCATGCCTTGCAATTCAGGGAACGTGTGATGAAAAAGTTATTGATTGCAGTGAAGATGAGCTGTATTGTGCTGGAGGACTAATAGGTAATTAGCTACTTAGGTCAACCTTCCTCAAATTACATTAACCTGATTTTGGATGACAACTCCCATCGATCAAAAGGGACAGAGCTTACCTCAAGATTTCCAAGGAAGTCTCCATGAGGACGTCTGTTTTGGAGGCCTCCAGGTTGGGCTCATACGTTGGGCAAAGCCATGGTTGGTTGGTTGGTTTTGGGGTGGCTTTTTGGAACTTTCAAGTCAGTCTTTTTGTGGACTGCATAAAAGTGGCATGTTATAAGCTATATTCCCCCCAAACTGTAGGAGTAATAATGAAATTCCTGCCTCCCTCCCTGGATTTTGACAACAATATCTCCACATTCTCCTCCAGCCTTCTTGAGAACATCCAGCATAATTCTTTCTAGGTTTCTATCCTACTTACTTGAATCTAATTTCTTCATCATCTCTGTTTCACTGCAATAAGTGCAGACAAAAATACCTTCCTAGTGTTTCACACCACAACTGCCCTACTTTTTCAACCTGAAGGGCTAAAGTTGGGGAATTATGGGCATTGCAGTCCAACCAACCAGGAGCATCTCAGGTTGGTTGGTTCTGCCATGAAAAGTACTGGGGGAAAAAGGAATGGCTTTCAGTTCAACCTGTTCCACTGATCAATTGTTCTTACTATAAGGAGAAATTTCCTGACAGTGAGAACAATTAATGAGTGGAATGACTTGCCTTCAGAAGTTGTGAGTGCTCCATCACTGGAGGTTTTTAAGAGAGGATGGACAGCCAATTATCCGGAATGATACAGGGTCTCCTGCTTGAGCAGGGAGTTGGACTAGAACAGTGGTTCTCAACCTTTTTAATGCCGTGACCCCCAACTGGTCATAAGTCGAGGACTACTCAAGTGGTGCAGCACCGTTTGCAGAATGGGACTTTTGGCGGGCTCAGCAGGGCAGAGACAGCCTGGACAATTCCTATTGGCTTTTGAAAGCCAATAGAATTAGACTCTATTCAAGAGAGTCTATTCTATTGGCTTTCAAAAGCCAATAGAATAACAGGGAGTAGCACAGCTAAGGAAAAAGGGGGAAAAAATGGCGGACTGTGTTGTTTGGCGACCCCTGTGAAATGATCGTTCGACCCCAAATGGGGTCCCGACTCACAGGTTGAGAACCACTGGACTAGAACAAGGCTTTTCAACCTTTTCACCCATTGTACCACTTTTAGAATATGGCAATATCCAAGTACCACCTGTCGCCTAGCAAGATGTCAAAAACTTGACCAAAAAAAGAGGAAAAAAGTGATAAAGTACAGGTAGTCCTCGACTTACAACAGTTTGCTAAGTGACTGTTCAAAGTTACAATGGCATTGAAAAAAGTGCCCCCCAAGTCACAGCTGAGCAAGACACCTGCCTGCCAGCCCGGCGGCGCTCTTCCTCCTGTCCGAGGTTATCATTGTTGTGAGCATTTCTCTTGAGGATTGGCAGCAGAGGTGGGGGGGTGTTTGGTTTTTATTCCCCCCATCTGCTGGGTGGTTGCAGCAGGTTTTGGTCACTTCACATCACCCTGAGACACTGTGACCGTCATAAATGTGAATCACTTGCCAAACATTTAAATGTAAATCACAAGACTCTGGAGATGCTGCAACATTCCAGCTAATCGGTGCTTCTTCTGGGCTCAGCAGAAGCACCAGGATCAGCGCCGAGCTCCAGCTGGAGCCTGGCGCTGATCCTGGCACTTCCACTGAGCCCTGACAGCCCTGCAGCTCCAGCCATCTCTCACTCAGGCTTGTGTGGCGCTGTCACCGGTTCAGCTCATTCCCCTCTCCCACTACCACTTTTCTAGGATGGTCGCGTATCACCTGCCAGGTGCCAATGTATCACAGGTGGTACCTGTACCACTGGTTGAAAAGCCCTGGACTAGAAAACCGTCAATGTTCCTTCCATCTCTGTTATACTGCAGTACTGTAATTGATCCAATCTTGGCACTGATCCCTTTCATTTTCTCCACAGTTACATCTACTCTGGAGTTCAGTTTGAAGGGATGTGCAAACAAAGCTTTCTGTGATAGTTTGGTTGCATATGAAGCCATGGCTCCTGAGAACAATGGACATCACGCTATCCAATGCACATCAAACTCGTCAATTCACCAGGAGGAGTTCTCAAACTTTACTAGAATTGGAAAGTCCTCTGGGGTGGTTAATACCAATCCCAGATGGTTTGGACTCTTCATCACTATTTTTTCTGGCTTGATTTTTTTCCAAGTGTAAAGATTTCATTATAGGAGAAAAGCCAAGCTGGTCTATGGTATTCTGAAATCTGGAATCTGGTGACACTTTTTCAGCGAAAAAAGTTCATTAAAAGCAATAGTTTTTGTGAGCTGTAGCTTACCGTACATCCGATGTATGCTTCATTAGATGCTTTAAATCATCAGATCACCTAAAGATTCAGTGATCCAGCTTGCTTCCAGCTTCTGTATCTTCTACAATCATAGATATTTCAAAGGGAAATCAGTCAAAGTTCATTATTCAGAGGCTCAGAGCACTTGACTTAGTGTTTCTGATGTCCATTAGAGTCCTCTAACAATAGAGGACAGGCCAATAAGCTGTAATGCTGTCACAAAGTCTAATGGTGAGAATTAATGTTCAACTGTGGTTCTCATTCATGATCAGATGGGTGGACAGTCTTCCCTTCCCTTCAGCACCAGCCAAGACAGTTTTTCTTCTTCTTGGCTCTAGAAACAAACTCAAAGGTTGCAATTAGTAGCATTGATTAGGAAGAAAGAGGATAGTTACCACCCAAGAACTCCAGCAAGGGTTTGATTTTCATGTAAAGCTTCTTTATAACAATTTATTCCAATGCCAACATCTTTTCCCATTTTTTAGGGGAAAAGGAAGAGAAAGGAAGAGAAACAGGGTTGAAAGCTTCATTTTTCCAGAAAAACGTACCTGCTTATAATTTTGAGAACCGTCAGCCCCCATATGGGTCTAACCTCATGCCTATCAGATGTTTTTTATTAGAACCTATTGTAGTATAAAATAATGAAGGAAATAAAGATGGAAATCGTGATCAGAAAGGAAAGGGGAAGGAAGGTTAAAAAAAAAGGAATGACTTCCAATTCTTTTTAGTGCAGTACAATACAAAATGCAGTTGTCATCTCAACTTTTTGCTTTATATTTCTTCTAGATGCAAGCCATTAACAACATTAGTCTTCGAAACCGAAGGTCAAAGTTCTATTTTTTTTTCATTTCGAGCATAAAGTTCAGAAGTGGCTTCCAGGTGGAAACAAACTGGATAAGTTCTTCTCTTTCATTAAAACAGCTTTGACACCCCCATCATTTTTTCTACCCATTTTTCCTTGTGGTGATTGATGTATGTTTTGTAGCCATTCTCAATAAAAGCGGTCAGTCTTCCTGTTGAGATGCTCCTTTGTCTACTTGGTTGGGACTGAGAATTATTGTCATTTTTCTTACATAATAATTTGAGCAGAAAAAGGAATCCTCTTCTGAAGGGGGGGGGGCAGACTATTATTCTCAGATAAGTTGTCTGGTGATTGCATCTTCACAGGCTACTGAGGGACCTAATTCTTCTCTTCAGCCCTTTATTGATGGAGTTTAATTCCATTTGCAAACAGATGTTATGGGGTTGGGAAAGGGAGGGCTCCATTCTGTGGTAGCCGTATTTGTTTTTATAAAGGAGAAATGGCCTTCGTCTAGCATCACTGTGCAGTGGTTGCTAAAGCTCTTACACATTTTGTATATAAAATATTATAATTATCCCAGACAATACCTTTTTCAATTTGTCTAAAAGACCCTCCTTCTTTTCAAATTTCTGACGATGGAGAGAAGTTTAAGCTGATGCGTGGGTCAGCTAAAGGCCTAGACCAGTGGTTCTCAACCTTTTTAATGCCGTGACCCTCAACCGGTCATAAGTCGAGGACTACTCAACCGGTCGTAAGTCGAGGACTACTCAACTGGTGCAGCACCGTTTGCAGAATGAGACTTTTGGCGGGCTCAGCAGGGCAGAGACAGCCTGAACAATTCCTATTGGCTTTTGAAAGCCAATAGAATTAGACTCTATTCAAGAGAGTCTATTCTATTGGCTTTCAAAAGCCAATAGAATAAAAGGGAGTAGCACAGCTAAGGAAAAGGGGAAAAAAATGGCAGACTGCATTGTTTGGCGACCCCTGTGAAATGGTCGTTCGACCCCAAATGGGGTCGTTTGACCCACAGGTTGAGAACCACTGGCCTAGACTATTGAAAGAGCTGAGAATCCAGATGTTTGGGTCAGCTAAAGACATAGACTATTGAAAGAACTGGGAATCTAGATGTTTGGGTCAGCTAAAGACATAGACTATTGAAAGAATTGGGAATCTAGATGTTTGGGTCAGCTAAATACATAGATTATTAAAAGAACTGGGAATCCAGCACCATCTCTCCTTGCACAGCCAATGCTGAAGAAGTCAGAAATTGTAATTCAGTAACACCAGAACACCAGATGTTCAAATTGTTGAACAATTTACTTATAAAACCACAACTAACCAAACCACGGCATGGTATATTATACATCATATTCATTTACTGTAGTTATCTCTCATACACACAGGCAAATTCCAGTTGATTTCTTCTAGCAAAGGCTATTTTTCAGCCATATGAAATCAGCACACACACACACACACACACACACACACACACATACACACACACACAGAGAGAGAGAGAGAGAGAGAGAGAGAGAGAGAGAGAGAGAGAGAGAGAGAGTTCTAGGAATACCTCAGGAGACGGGACTTTTGATTTTGTTTCACTGGGGTTGAGCAGGTGCACTTTCAAGGAACTTCCTTAAATCAGGAAATATATGTAGGTCTTTGGTTATCGGGTTTTCTCCCGTGTCAAATTGGAAGTATCTTGGCGATGTTTCGACGAAGTCCCATTCGTCATCTTCAGGCTGATGTTTTCAGCTTCGTGCTTCGAGGAATTTCACGATATGTGGGGGGGGGGAACGAACGGTTGATTTGAGATGCTTAAGACATCAGGGGGCTGTTACCCATGCGAGGAGGAGGCATCTGGACACATGTGGAAAAGAGGGGGGAGAGAATAGTGTTGTTGGCATAGGATTAGTAACCATCAAGGAAGATAGGGAGGTGGAGGATGAGAGGAAAGAAGAGCGGGGGAGAGGGAGAGAGAGAGGAGGGAGGGTTAGTGGCAGATCTCACCCAAGGATGGGCGGGCCTAATGACACTATGACTGGAAGGGTTAATGGAATAGAGGGAGAATCCCCCCCCCTCTATCCATATACAGGAAGATGAGGGAGGAGGGAGATGACCAGCATGCGGGATGAAAGGGAGTCCTCTTACTCCCAGATCTAATACTTACGGTTGGAGAATGATGCATAATGAACGGCATGACCAGCTGGGCCTGTTAACATGCCTTAGAAGCCAGATGCAGGCTACTAACACCTTATAAAAGACACCCCAGCGTCTCCCTTTTAAAATCCTGATGATGTTGGATGATTTACCAACAAAAGCTCGGTTAATAAATTTTTAATATTTTATTCCTCTTGGTGATCGACCCCCTTTTTGTGGATTATGTAGGTCTTTGGTTATTCAGGTTTTCTCCCATGTAAAATTGGAAGTGTCTTGGCGATGTTTCAACGAAGTCTCATTCGTCATCTTCAGGCTGGTGCTTTCGGCTTCGTGCTTCTAGGAGCAATGTGTGATTGTAGCTGTTTCCTCCTTTTAACTGCCAGTGGGGGTATGAACTGATTGGATGAGAGCTTGGCTGTGTTCTGATTGGATGGAGGTGTGTTCTGATTGGTTAGGAGCTTGGTCGAAACGTCGCCAAGACACTTCCAATTTTACGTGGGAGAAAAAACCCGAATAACCAAAGACCTACATACAAACACCCGCGAAAACCTCAGAAAACACACACACACACACACACACACACACACACACACACACACACACACATTCTTTCATACCCAGCAGTTTATATTGCAACTTAATGTTCAAAAGCATTTTGAGGTCAGTTAGCAGAAAGGAAACATCTGTTTTCTGCAAAGTCAGCCTGCAGGATGGGTTGCAGGCCTTGGAACCTTCTCTCCAGCCTCTCTGTCTCCAATGCATAGATTTGTCATTTTCACAAATTGCTTAGCACTCAAATCAAAGGGCCTAAGCACGAGCCAGGTTTAACGCACACAGGGCAAATACAGATGCTAGGTCTTAAAGGACTGGACCAAGTTTGCTATTTGAACACAAATCATATCTTGTCGTGGGAAGAAGGAACAGGAGGATGAACCGTGATCAAGACAACAATCATATAAAAGAAATTTGAATCCAGGACAGTGCTGTAATTTAAGAGTCTCAGACCCTTCCTAGTTTTTGCAAAGATAAAGGGAGGGGGAAGTGTCTTTAGACTTGCAGGATTGATGTCAACCCGTCAAGATAGACCAGACTTGGATATCAAAGTTGTTGTTATTGTTGTTAGTTATGAAGTCGTGTCCGACCCATCGCGACCCCATGGACAACATTCCTCCAGGCCTTCCTGTCCTCTACCCTCTTCTGGAGTCCATTTAAGCTCACGCCTCCTGCTTCAGGGACTCCATCCAGCCACCTCATTCTCTGTCGTCCCCTTCTTCTCTTGCCCTCCATCTTTCCCAGCATTAGGCCCTTCTCCAGTGAGTCCTTCCTTCTCATTAGGTGGCCAAAGGACTTGAGTTTCAACTTCAGGATCTGGCCTTCTAAAGAGCAGTCAGGGTTGATCTCCTCTAGGACCGACCGGTTTGATATCAAAGTTACAAAGGCGAATATTACTTTTATTATGAGGTTAGAGTAACAGAATCTTGCCAGTTTGAAAGTCCTTTCCCCCTCCTACCCTTCATCTTTCTGAGAACTAGGTGGCGCAGCAGTTAGAGTGCAGGACTGCAGGCCACTTTAGCTGACTGTGTTCAGCAGGTCAGCGGTTCAAATCTCACCGGCTCAAGGTTGACTCAGCCTTCCATCCTTCCGGGGTAGGTAAAATGAGGACCCAGATTGTTGGGGGCAATGTAAATATATATATATATATATACATTGCTTTCTGGTGTGCACCGCTTAGAGAGTGCCTTGCACTTAAAGCGGTATATAAGTCTCATAAATAAATAAATAAATAAAACTAGGGAGGGACTTTCCTAAGATGGCTGTTCATGGCACCCCCGGGAGTCCTCTCCAACTCCAAATTTCAAAGGTGCCAGGACTCTTCTGATCCGATCTTGTCTCTTTGACATTCATGAGACACAGCAGGAAGACCCACAGCCTAGACAACAATCTGGTAACAAAAAGTTTGAGTCCGGGATGGGGATGTGGGTGGAGGTGGAGAAAACATCTCAGAAGGGACCCTTCTTAGCTTCCGGGAAGAGAGTTTGGTGTAGTGGTTAAGGCATCAGGCTAGCATCCAAGAGACTGTGAGTTCTAGTCCCGCCTTAGACACAAAATCAGCTGGGTGATCTTGAGCCAGTCGCTTTCTTTCAGCTCTAGGAAGGAGGCAAGAAAATGGCCAGGTTTTATTCAGGCAATTTCTGGGAATCAGATACAACTGAATGGAAGGGGGGGGGAAGTAAGAGAGGGGAGAGATGCCTATAGATTCTATTATTGCAACAACCTTACAATAAGAATAGTGTAATGGTGCTTTTTGTTTGGATTACTATAGTTTAAAGGGCTGGTACATATCGTGGTACTATCTGGCCAAGAGGTGGCACTATATAGCAATGATATCATTGCTTCCTTTTAACTCATTAGAAAGGCACAATAATAGAATTGGAAGGGACCCTGGAGGTCTTCTAGTCCAACCCCCTACTCAAGCAGGAGACCCTATACCATTTCAAACAAGTGGCTGCCCAATCTCTTCTGGAAAACCTCCAATGTTCGAGCATCCACAACTTCTGGAGACAAATTGTTCCATTGATTAATTGTTCTAACTGTCAGGAAATTTTTCCTTAGTTCTAGGTGGCTTCTCTCCTTGGTTAGTTTCCATCCGTTGCTTGCTGTCCTGCCTTCAGGCGCTTTGGAGAATAGATTGACTCCCTCTTCTTTGTGGCAGCCCCTGAGATATTGGAACACTGCTATGATGTCATCCCTAGTCCTTATCTTCATTAGACTAAACCAGGAGTAGGCAACCTTGGCTCTTTTATGACTCGTGGACTTCAACTCTCAGAATTCCTGAGCCAGCATGGCTCAGCATGGAAACCTCTCCCTTTCCCCTCAGCATGGCTGACTCAGGAATTCTGGGAGTTGAAGTCCACGAGTCATAAAAGAGCCAAGGTTGCCTACCCCTGGACTAGACATACCCAGACTAGACTGACTCAGGTCTTTGAGTCTAGCTGCACCGGTAGTCCTTAATTTACAAGAGTTTGCTTAGTGACCGTTCAAAGTTACAACGGCCCTGAAAAAAGTGACTTATGACCATTTCCCCCACTTATGACCCTTGCAACATCCCCATAGACACAAGATTTACATTCAAATGCTTGACAGCTGACTCACACTTATGATGCTTGCAGTGTCCCGGGGTCATGTGAATCCCTTTTGCAAATGTCTGACAAGCCAAGTCAAGAAGGAACCCAGATTGACTTAACAACCATATTAATAACTTAACAATTGCAGTGATTCACTTCACAAATGTGGCAAGGAAGGTGGTAAAATGGGGCAAAACTCATTTAACAAACGAGTTAAATCTTGGGCTCCATTTTGTGGTCGTACGTTGAGGATTCCCTGTACTGCATGTGTATTCCCTGAACACGGGACGGCCAAGCACGCCGAGTCTGCAAAGGCCTTCAAAACTGGGCACGTACAAAAATGGGAACCCCTTCAAATCCAAGAGGCATCGACCTCTCTTAAAAGGTCTAAAAATGTTTGCAGAGATATTACAAAATAGCAACGAGATCGGACGAGAAGTGTAACCTTGGGCCATGTGCAAGTTCAATCTTGCATAATGCATATTTATATAAAAGGGGGGGGGGGAAATAACAGTGAATGCTCCTGCACTTATATTGCTGTTCCATAGGACAGGTAGTCCTCGACTTAACTGAGCCCAAGCTTTCTGTGGCTAAGCCAAGAAAAGTCCTTAAGTGAGTTGTGCCCCATTTTATGACCTTTCTGACCACAGTTGTTATGTGAAACACTACGGTTGTTAAGTTCGTAACCTGGTTGTCAAGGAAATCTTGCTTCCTCGTTGACTTTGCTTGTCAGAAGATCGCAAAAGGGGATCACGCGAGCCCGGGGACGCTGCAACCTCTCTCATTATAGAAAGCAATGAAATGCAATTTAGTTTAAGAGGTTTCAGAAGCAGTAACCTTCCCCTCTCCAAGCTTCAGGCTAGCCCTGATCCACTTGACTGGCTGTTTCTGCTTTAAGAGAGAGAACATCTGAATATCAATCGGAATAGACCTGGAAGGGAACTTGGAGGTCTTCTAGTGCAGTGGTTCTCAACCTGTGGGTCGGGACCCCATTTGGGGTTGAACGACCATTTCACGGGGGTCGCCAAACAAGGCTGTCCGCCATTTTTCCCCCTTTTCTTTGGCCACACCCTGGCACCCTGTGATGTATAAGTGGTTGGGGGGTCACCACAACATAGGGAACTGTATTATGGGGTCGCGGCATTAGAAAGGTTGAGAACCACTGTTCTAGTGCAACCCCTGCTCAAGAAGGAGACCCTATACTATTTCAGACAAGTAGTTGTCCAGTCTCTTCTTAAAAACCTCCACTGATGGAGCATCCACAACTTCTGGAGGCAAGTCGTTCCACTGGAAATCCTTAGTTCTAGGTTGCTTCTCTCTTTGATTAATTTCCATCCATTGTTTCCTGTCCTACTTTCAGGTGCTTTGAAGAATAGCTTGACTCCCTCTTCTTTGGGGCAGCCCCTGAGATATTGGAATATTGCTATCACATCAAACTCCTTCTCCTCCTCCTCCTCCTCCTCCTCCTCCTCCTCCTCCTCCTCCTCCTCCTCCTCCTCCTCCTCCTCCTACTTCTCCTTCTCCTTCTATTTCTACTTCTTCCTCTCTCTCTCTTTCTCTCTTTCTTTCTCTTTTTCTTCTTTTTCTTCTTTTTTCTTCTTTTCACTAGACGTTCTCTAGAATACACTCTGCATTCGCATAGCAATCTACTGAGAAGCCACAGAAGCAAAGGGAACCTGCTGTTGGGATCCAATAAGAGAAATACTACTGATAAAGGAGAATATTTACAACTCAGAGTTGAAATGAGGGGTCCTTGGTGCTCTCTGAGCTTGGCTGTTTTCTTGCAGACATTTCACTGCCAAGCTAGGTAAGATCACTAGTGCTAGTGTTAGCTTTCTCGATCCTTCAAGAAAAAAAAACAAACTGTTTTGCTTTGCATTCAGTAGCATGGCCTGATCCTATTTAGTCCTCATTTAATGGCCACAACTGGGACCAGAAATTTGGTCATTAAGCAAGGCGACCACTCAGTAAAACCAGAAGTGATCCAAGCTTCCCATTTACAAACATAACTTAGAAGACTTGATCAACCTAACTTTCCCAGGTAGATTTTTCGGTCCCAATTTCTGGTTCACGGAAGTGAGTCACTCACTTCCAATTGCTCCAGAGTAGTTTAGCCATTTCCCTCTCCTTGTGGTGAAATCTATGTTGACTACCAGGTGAATTTTTAACCCTAAATAATGCTACTGTGTTCACAGGCTGATCCAGCAGGCCTGGAATAGTTGGCTCCAACAGCAGAACAAATCAAGCCCTCCTGGGTGATTGCCTCAGGTTGTCCTTGAAAAGGACAGTGGACTGGCAAAAGGGTTATCTTTTTTTTGTCTTATTCCCTATCTGGGTGGAAAGTAAATATATCCCAGAGGGATATCAGTGGTTGAGAGGTGTTTCCAAAAACATAGTCTTCTAGCTCTCCTACAAAAAGGAAACACAAAGGGAGAAAGACCTGTGCCCGTTGAATGATAGCATCTGGTAGTCTCTGAGAAAAATTGCTGGCTGCTTCTTGAAGCTCTACGTAAGTTCCTACTTCCTTCTTAAGGGTTGAGAATCTTTCTACAAAGACTTGGATTCCTTTCAAGGGACAATATCCTACATATACTTGTATTCTGCTTTCCTCGGTGAAGATCCACATGGTGGTATGGACCAGGTTTAACCTTCCCTTTAAGCTTACTTTAAGGTGGACAGACCCTGATCTTGGTTGAAGGACTCACGTAGCCTTTGTTTGTTGTGTAGATGGTAAGAAAGGAGTTTACGGTAGCTTCCAGCCTAAGCTTCCTCTATTGCTACCCAAATTCTGATCTTGAAAGCCAGGGAGATTTGTGTATGTGTGAGACAGGGATAATGGTGAATCCCCATCCAGTGTTTCAAATGATCTGGGAGCTCAATTGAAGGCAGGAAAACAGAATAACAGAGTTGGAAGGGGCCTTGGAGGTCATCTAGTCCAACCCCCTGCTCAAGCAGGAAACCCTATACCATATCAGACAAATGTTTATGCTATCTTTTCTTGGAAACCTCCAGTGTTGGAGCACCCACAACTTCTGGAGGCAAGTCGTTCCACTGATTAATTGTTCTCACTGTCAGGAAATTTCTCCTTAGTTCTAGCTTGCTTCTCTCCTTGATTAGTTTCCATCCATTGCTTCTTGTCCTGCCTTCAGGTGCTTTGGAGAATTGGCTGACACCCCTCGTCTTTATGGCAGCCCCTTAGATATTGGAACACTGTTATCAAATCACCCTAGTTCTTCTTTTCATTAAACTAGACATACCCAATGTTAACCAAAACAGGTCCTAAACATCCCAATAATGATTTTTTTTATGAAGTAGCTTTCCTTACAGCTTGGTAACTACTAAGTTGTTGAGTTCAATGGCCAAACAGGCAATGGAGAAAAATGCAATTATTACCAGGAGTTAACATAACACCTTAGGCAGCGGTGGGATTCAAATATGTGAACAACTGGTTCTCTGTGTGGATGCCACTTCTGAATGTCCGTTCTGGGCCTGGGCAACAAAAAATTAACTACCGGTTCTGCTGAACTGGTGCAAACTGGCTGAATCCCACCACTGACCTTAGGAGAATGATTTTATTTCTAGACTTGTATTCTTCCCGTTATGTTTTTTTTTTAAGGGGGAAAGATTCTTGAAACTGGTTTGTTATTGTTATGTAAAAGTTGGCACTATGAACCATTCACACCTACATTGTGTTCCAGCTCCAGTTTCTTTCTGCCATCTCTTCCAGGTATTTTTATCCAGATTGACTTGGGCATCAATCACCTTGTTCTCCACCATGAAGTCCCTCTTATTCTGTTGCCTCTTGGGCACTTTCTTAGCTACAGGTGAGAAGACCTTGGAAGCAATTCAAGAACCTTGCCTCAGACAGCAAGTCTCCAGGCAGGTCCTGGATGACCACAGAAAGGGGGTCAGAAAAGTCAAGATGGTGCCCACCACCGTGTAACTGAAACCCCACCCTTTATTTTTTGCATGCGTTAGAAACAGGCAGAGTTGGGACTGCATGGTTTTAGCTACTTTCTAGATTTATTTTTTTGTCCCTCAGCCACCTCTGCCTGCAGAAGAAGTAGCTTCTTCTGAATTCTTCTGAAACTATGAATTTATTCATTCCTTTTAATATTAAGCCAGGGCTGTCCAGCCTTGGCAACTTTAAGACCTGTGGACTTCATTTCCCAGGAATTCTGGGAGTTGCAGTCCACCCATTTAAAAGTTGCCGAGTTTGGAACCCCTGTGGTAGACCACCAGGCCATCCTACCCAAGGCAGACATTGGGTTAATTCCATCAGCAAGTTGAGGGGGCTAGTCAAAAGTAGCTGTTGACTAGCAAGACATATGAACTGTGCAATGATGGCATGAATCACCATTTGAAGTGTGGGGTGGGGCAGGGCAGGGCAGGGCATGACAATCCCATTGAAAGCATCAAAAAACAAAGTTGTCTCTTCCTCCTCTAGGCATGTGTATTGAGTGTGAAGTTTGTATGAGTCCCGGCGATAGATGTAACGGCTCGATGATGGCCTGTAAAGATGATGAAGATACTTGTGTGATGTTTCAAACTGAACTGCTATTAGGTATGAAATACTAAGAGTTCTGGGATAGACAGGCAGACAGAGATACAGGTAGACTTATGGCCATTCATGTAGTGACCGTTCAAAATTGCAACAGCATTGAAAGAGATGTCTTATGACTCTTTTCCACATGTATGACCTTTGCAGCATCCTCATGGTCAGGTGATCAGAATTCAGATGCTTGGCACCTGGCTCGTATTTATGACGGTCGCAGTGTCCCGGGGTCACGTGATCCCCTTTTGCGACCTTCTGCCAAGCAAAGTCAACAGAGAAGCCAGATTCACTTAACAACTGGGTTACTAGCTTAACAACTGCAAGTGATTCGCTTAATAACGGTGGCAGTTGGGGGCTCAGTTGTGGTTGAGGACTACCTGCTACTTCCATCTAATGGTCATTCAGAGTTTGAACCTACCAAGGAATCGCAAATAAAATGCCTTTGTACTTTGTTTCTCCTCTGTGCAGCCCCTCTGTCCTTCACTTTCACTTCAAAAATGTGCAGCACGTCTGACACCTGCCATCTTGACTACGTGGAGACAAATCTACCTTATGAACTGGCAGTGAGGTCCAAAAGAGCGTGCTGTGTTGGGGATGCATGTCAAACTATGACGCCTGTTGGTATGTAGCTCTTAGGAAGCCAATCTCGGCCCCAATGGACAAAGTGGGAGGAGGGAGTGAGGCAAAATCTAATCTCTGCAGGGCTGCCCATTTCTGATTTCAATTTTGTCAGAGCTAAGGGTTAAACCTTAAGCCTGTATCTAAAACTTCTCTTGATAAGGATTGAAAGACATTAGCTCATGCTGGCTGAAGAATTCTGGGAATTGAAGTCCTCTCATCCTAAAGTTGCCAAGGTTGAAAAAACACTGTACTAGAAGATAATATGTTGTGTTTAGGCAGAGCAGATTCTATGAACAGTGTCTGAAGATATATTATCTATTGAGGTCACCTTCCTGGAATGGAATGGAATGGAATGGAGTGGAGTGGAGTGGAGTGGTGTGGAGTGGAGTGGAGTAGAGTGGAATGGAATGCAATGGAATGGAGTATGTTATGTTATGTTATGTTATGTTATGTTATGTTATGTTATGTTATGTTATGGTATGGTATGGTATGGTATGGTATGGTATGGTATGGTATGGTAGAATAGAATAGAATAGAATAGAATAGAATAGAATAGAATAGAATAGAATAGAATAGAATAGAATAGAATAATGGAATGGAGTAGAAGAATAGAATAGAATGGAATGGAATGGAATAGAATAGAATAGAATAGAATAGAATAGAATAGAATGGAATGGAATGGAATGGAATAGAATAGAACAGAACAGAACAGAACAGAACAGAACAGAACAGAATAGAATAGAACAGAATAGAATTTATTGGCCAAGTGTGATTAGATACACAAGGAATTTGTCTCCAGTGCAGAAGCTTGCAGGGCAGAAAGAGGTGGGTGACATAACCCTATGGGAGGGGATTTACACGACTTCTGCTCTCCTTCTTGGATGGGAGAGAAATTCCTCTGTTTTTTTCACTGGGAATATCCTGCATGCTGTATCAATTACCACTAGGATTCAGGCATTACACAGTCAGTTGAATTTTCAGTTGAGGGTTTGAATCCCATACAATAATATCTGGCTATCTACAGCTGGAGATGCCCAAACAGGAGGAATCTAGCTTGAGGGAATCAGCCAGCTCTTCCATGCTTTCTGGAAGCTTAAAAAAAGAGGGGGGCTCCTGGAACTCTAGGGGAAGGGTTTTTCATGGGGCAGGGGCTGCCATCGTGAGCTTCCTAGGTTCCACCAAAAGACCCTTTTTAAGAGAAAGGATGTGCCTAGCCTACCCAATCTAATAAAACGTGCAGTTACTCTTAGGGAGAGACAGTTGCACAAATCATCTTTTTGCTCTTTTTGCTCTTGACAGTGCTTGAACGTCACGACAACCGTTACAATGGACTTCAGTGTCCTGGATGCATTGGATTCGGCTCACATGAATGCAATGAAAAACTGGTTTCCTGCCGGGATACTGAAAACCAGTGTTTGTCTCTAACTGGGAAGAACATTTGTAAGAACAGGCTCCACTTAAAATTATGATTTGAGAGCGGGAGGCCAAGACTTGAGGAATCAGGATTCTGGAGCAGTTATTGGAAGGTTTCTTGAACAGAAGGAGTAGAAGAGATTCAAAGTGGAGTGGATCCTGTTTTCCACATGGGTTATGGTTCCAACATCTCTAGACCAGTGGTTCTCAACCTGTGGGTCGGGACCCCATTTGGGGTCGAACGACCATTTCACGAGGGTCGCCAAACAACGCAGTCCGCTATTTTTTCCCCTTTTCCTTAGCTGTGCTACTCCCTTTTATTCTATTGGCTTTTGAAAGCCAATAGAATAGACTCTCTTGAATAGAGTCTAATTCTATTGGCTTTCAAAAGCCAATAGGAATTGTCCAGGCTGTCTCTGCCCTGCTGAGCCCGCCAAAAGTCCCATTCTGCAAATGGTGCTGCACCAGTTGAGTAATCCTCGACTTGCGACTGGTTGAGGGGGTTGCGGCATTAAAAAGGTTGAGAACCACTGCTCTAGACGGATACAGAATCTGTGCTGATAAATAAGGGTGTCTTTGTAGCATCCCAATTCAACAGCTAAGGGCAATGCGTCCATCTCCCAACAATTAAAGGCCTATCAAAGTTTCAAAACAGTAATGAAAGAAAGTAAGATGCCAGCACATAATAACTTTTTAAAAATCATGCTTTAAGCTGTAACTATTTTTAATTTACAATTCAAGGTAAGGGGAATAGTAAATGCACAACAACAGTAGATAAGCAGGTAAACTAGATAACAGTCTACTTTCTTCTCCTTCTCTTTCTCCTCCTCCTCCCATTTTTCTTCCCCTTTAAGTTTTTCCAGAAACACTTTGCAAGAGCAATCATTTAGTTTTCCAACCAGAATTTTTAATACTTTCTCCTTCACCATTTTTGAAGGATGGGATACTGTAGAGATGTTACTAACTCCCATATTGGTTTATTTCTTCAGATATCCTCGCCAACGATATAACTATGAAAGGATGCGCTACTGAGAGTTTGTGCACTTTACTTCAGAAGAAGATCTTCTCAGCTATAGCGGAATGGGATCTAGACGTCAAATGCACCCCAGTCTTCCCACAGTCTTCCCAGTGATGTATATAACTGCACATCAAGGCCATCGCTTCCACCTTACCAGAGCTTAGGAGCCAACATGGCTGATTCTGTTTTAGTCAGCTTTCAACAGAATTCTCATTCTTCTGGATGTTTCCCACAATGAATGTGAAAATTAACTGAACCATGGTTCAATCAATAAAGCAGTTACTTTAAAAAGAATTCCATTCTGGTTCAGGGTTTGATTTGAGCAAATGATTGTGGTAGAAGTAGGTTTGGGGTGTCCTGTCATGACACCACTCAGTGTGGTGCTCATTTCCACTTCTGGACTGGCCCAGAACAGGAGAGGGCAACTCTGGATACCTGCTGTTTCAGAAGGACAGGAATGGAAGAGGGCCTCCACAGAATACCCTTGTCTATTTGGGAGATGACCTGATCCACCCTGGTTTTGATGTTGTATGTCACAAGTAGCGTGCTTCCTCCTTTTCCTGGTACAACCAGAACAGTCAAATCCACCTCTGTTGTTTCGTTCTGTCTCACACAAATGCCTCCATTCCGATTGGCTGGTGGGCATGTTGATGAACACGAGGCCTCCCCAATGACTTCCTCTCTGCCTTCAAGGCCCATGTTCTTCTGTCTGCTGGGCCGCCTGCCGTGAAAGGATGGAGCCTGGTGGTTGTGCTTTTTAACATGTTCCTGCAGAGATATCCATAAGGTCTGGCCAAAAATGTCAAGAAGACAGCCAGAACAGTGGACTCAAAAACCAGGCAGAGTTTTTGATCCCACCATGAAGCAATCTTGGCTTTTTCTTAACCACACTCTAAGGACCCCAGGTTTAGTAGATGACTTTTAAAACAGGGGCCTCGCTTTTTTTGTTTCTCTGTTTGATTTAACCGTGCAATTGACAAACGTCCTGCCATGATTTTTCCATTTATTTTAATTTATCTGCCACCCATCTCACTTTGAGATTGAGTCCGAAGGACCTGTGGGAACTTAAGTTCACCTATCTTAAACTTCCTGAGGTTGTGAAACACTGTTTTAGTCCACACAAACGCCAATATACAGATACTATATTGACTTGCAACCGTTGGTTTAGCAACCGTACAAAGTTACAAGGCCCCAGATAAAAGTGACTTATGTGCAGTCCTTACATTTACAACCATTGCCCCTCCCCCCAAGGGTCACTTGATCATGGCAACTAGCATATATTTATGATGGTTGCCATGTCCTGGGATCATGTGATCACTATCTGCAATCTCCTCACCCAGCTTCTGACAAGCATAGACACTGGGGCAAGCTGGATTCACTTAATGATCACATCATTTGCTTAATAGCTGCAGTGATTTCATTTAACAAACGTTGCATTAAAAAAGTGGGAAAAAATGGGGAAGACTACATTAACATCAGATGGATTTGTAACTGGCTGACAAGCTGCACTCAAAGTGTAATCCTTAATGGAACTGCATCTCTATATAAGGAACGGTTGCTGGAATTGGGTATGTCTAGTTTAATGAAGAGAAGGGTGACGGAAGACATGATAGCAGTGTTCCAATATCTCAGGGGTTGCCCCAAAGAAGAGGGAGTCAAGCTATTCTCCAAAGCGCCTGAAGGCAGGACAAGAAGCAACGGATGGAAACTAATCAAGGAGAGAAGCAACCTAGCACTAATATGGAATTTCCTGACTGGTAGAACAATTAATTAATGGAACAATCTGCCTCCAATACTGGAGAATTTGAAGAAGAGATTGGAAAACTATTTGTCTGAAGGGGTATAGGGTTTCCTGCCTGAGCAGGGGGTTGGACTAGAAGACCTCCAAGGTCCCTTCCAACTCTGTTATTCTATTCTACATGGAAGGAAAGAAGCTGTGTCGTACCCCAAAGTTCTGTTTTAGACCCAGTATTCTTTAATATCTGCATAAATGGTTTAGATGAGAGAATAGAAGGGGAACTCATCAGATTTGCAGATGACAGCAAGTTGGCAAGTATTGCCAACCCCCCAGAAGATAGGTTCAAGATCCAGGTGGATCTTGACATATTTGAACAATGCATCCTATCTAACAAATTCAGAGTAGAGAAAAAGCAAGATCTTACATTTAGGCAAGAAAAATCAAATGCACAGGTTTAGAATAGGCAAAACATAGCTCCATAGCAGTTACTGTGAGAAGGATCTTGGAGTCCTAGTGGACAATCACTTAAATATGAGCCAGCGGGGTGCTACAGATGCCAAAAAAGCCAATGCAAACCTATGAGGCATCAAGAGAGGGATAGAATCAAGATCACATGAAGTGTTAGTGCCGCTTTATAAGGCCTTTATAAGACCACATTTGGAATACTGCATCCAGTTTTGGTCACCAAGATATAAAAAAGATGTTGAGACTCTAGAAAGGGTGCAAAGAAGAGCAATGGATGGAAGCTAACCAAGGAGAGAAGCAACCTAGAACTAAGGAGAAATTTCCTGACAGTGAGAACAATCAATCAGTAGAACAGCTTGCCTTTAAGAATTGTGGGTGCTCTTAAATTATAAAATACCTATTTGGGGGATTCCTGGACAAGCAATTCAGGGGGTTTCTAAGGGGGTAAATTTTGATAATATTTCGTATAAAGAGTTACTTATCTGGTCGGGTACTGATTGGCAATTAAAGTCTTCAGATGTGCTAAGGCAAGAAAATATTTTACAATCATGGTTTCAATATTTGCAAATAGTGGAGAGATGGACTTTAGAAAAGAAAGTGGGAATTACTTTAGTAGATGAAAATTTGGTAATTCAGATTAAGGATCAGAAAGATGCCCACATTAAAAGAATTTATAATGAGTTAATAAAATTGGATTTGGAATCTGAGTTGGTAAAAGATTGTATGATTAAATGGGCCCAGAACATTCAGGAACCGATTTCATTGGACTTATGGGAGGTAATTTGGATTAGAAATGTTAAATTTACGCAGGCTCAAAATTTGAGGGAAAATTTTTATAAAATGTTTTATAGATGGCATCTGGATCCTAAAAAGTTGTCTTGTATGTACCCGAATGTGCAACCTAAATGTTGGAGATGTGGTTGCTTGGATGCAACCTATTTCCATGTTTGGTGGACTTGCAAAAATATTAAAGCCTTCTGGATTATGATTTGGTGGAACATTCAAAAGGTTTTTAAAAGGAAGATTAAGTTTACTCCCCAGTTATTTCTTTTGGGTATTTTTGTGGATTTTGATGTTAAAGAAACTATTTTAATGTTGAATTTAATAACAGCAGCAAGGTTATTTGGTGGATCGATATTGGAAGAAGGATACTCTGCTTTCTTTAGAAGAATGGGTATTTAAGGTTAGCAGAAATGGCCAAAATTTCTGCTTATTTAAAGGACCATTCACAAGAGAGATATTTCAACGTATGGAGAAGATGGATAGAATATGTTCAGAAGAAGTAATGGAACTACAAAGTTTCATTTATTTTATGAGTAATGAATTTGTTTAAACTTATGATGTTAAAGTTTGAAGAGAGTTAAGGGTTAGTATGATTTTGGTTTTTGTATAATTAGTAAACTTAATTAGATTATGTTTAGTATATTTGTATGACCCTGTGCTTAGCTCTGGGAAGTTGGGGGGTGGGGGAGGGGTGGGGGGTGGGGGAAGGATGGCTTGGAATTTTAGTAGTTCAGATAAGTAGAAATAGTTTTTATTGTATATATATTGAGGTTTCAATTTGGAGAGAGGAATTGCTCGGGCATTTCCCCCGGAACGGATCTGGAGTGAGAGGATAGAAGAAGGTGAAAAGTAAGTAGGAAGGTGGAGGAGAGGGGGTGAGTGAAGAAGAGAAATAGAATCAAGATCACGCGAAGTATTAATACCACTCTTCAATGCCTTGGTAAGGCCACACTTGGAATACTGCATCCAGTTTTGGTCACCACGATGTAAAAAAGATGTTGAGACTCTAGAAAGAGTACAGAGAAGAGCAACAAAGATGATTAGGGGACTGGAGGCTAAAACATATAAGGAACGGTTGCTAGAATTGGGTATGTCTAGTTTAACGAAGAGAAGGACAAGGGGGGACATGATAGCAGTATTCCAATATCTCAGGGGCTGCCATAAAGAAGAGGGAATTAAGCTATTTTCCAAAGCACCTGAAGGCAGGACAAGAAGCAACGGGTGGAAACTCATCAAGGAGAGAAGCAACCTAGAACTAAGGAGAAACTTCCTGACAGTGAGAACAATTAATCAGTGGAACAGCTTGCCTCCAGAAGCAGTAAATGCTCCAACACTGGAAGTTTTTAAGAAGAGACTGGACAGCCATTTGTCCGAAATGGTGTAGGGTTTCCTGCCCGAGCAGGGGGTTGGACTAGATGACCTCCAAGGTCCCTTCCAACTTTACTATTATTATTATTATTATTATTAAAGAAGAGGGAAAGAGGCAAGTTGGTTAGAGGGTGGATGCGGTTTGGGGGGAAATGGGTGAGCAATACCGAAAATGGTGTGTATTAATTTGTCTTATTTTCTTATCTGAAGTATTTTTAAGATTGTATTGTATTGCAAAATTGAAAATAAAAAATTTTAAAATAAAAAAAAAGAATTGTGGGTGCTCCAACACTGGAAGCTTTTAAGAAGAAATTGAACAACCATTTGTCTGAAATGGTATAGTGTCTCGTACTTGAGCAGAGATTTGGACTAGAAGACCTCCAAGATTCCCTCCAATTCTGGAAAACCAGTTGAAGATGTTTTACAGATGGCATCTTCCACCAGCTGGCCAAGATGTTCCAGAACAATTCGCCAACATGTTGGAAATGTAAAAAAGTACAAGGAACATATTATCATTTATGGTGGACATGCTCAGTTGCGAAAAATACTGGATTAAAATAAGAAGATGGATGGAAGAAATAATAGACCAACCCGTAGACTGAAAACCAGAGATCTTTCTGCGGGGTATTTTAAATAGAAAATATAATAAAGAAATATGGTTCTTAATTCTACATATAACAACGGCAGCAAGAATAGTATACGCACAGTTCTGGAAAAATGAGAGGAAGAAGTGATAAGAAAAATCCTGGACTGTGCTGAGATGGACAAATTAACAAAAGAGATAAAAGAAGAGGAAGACACAGAGTACTATCTAATATGGAATAAGTGGTATGATTGGTTGGAGACTAGAAGTAATAAAGGAGAATAAATGTGGAAAGGTCAAAAGTGGAAAATGTGTGTATAATAATGTATAGTAATAATAATATGTATTATTTTTAGT